GAGAAATGACAAGACGTTGTTGCTTATATCGACCCTGGGGCACCTCTGTCTAGCAACTCGAATATCGCCTGGCATTTGTCATACTTCGAGACCGGTGGAATCATCCAGGAAACATTTAGAGTATGGTTCATCTTGAATTCCACAATAACATCCATCTTTTTCTTCTTTCATACCGACCCGTGAAGATCCGGAGTAGAATAGGTCTTCAGCAACCCATGCTTGCCGTAAAAGGCGACTTTTTTGTCGTGAGAGGCGACTAACGGGATCAGGTGGTCAGGATCGCTGACTTGGTTGGTGCATGTCATCGTATCTCAATTGCGTGGATCGATGCTCATGATGTCAGTCACTGCATTGTTTGGTCCAGACTCGATTATTTACAGAATATTGCTGAGTGCGGCGTTAAACAACAAACACATCCTTCTATATCGGTATAACGCGTATTGCTCAGTAAAGGAATTGTCAATGTAATATTTCACCACAAATTAAATATTGAGAACTGGTATATCTAAGATGGGTGAAGCGGATGATGCATCAATAAGACGAGTAGGTGAGAGAGCTCAGGATAACGCCACGAGAAACAATATGACGACGTGAACATGAAAAACTGCACCCACGTGACGACTCCAGCCAGAGAGCGGAGGACGGTTCCACCACGCCGCGACATGACAGACAGCGGACACTTTAATTCACCGATCTTTAAATATCCTAATGATAAAGCTTTAGCTTAATCTGAAACATCTGTCGTTTTTAAATGACTCATATTACCAGCTCACATGCACGTGTATCCAATACCTTGTGGCTGATTTCAATAGGAAATCGAACAACCTAGATCAAACTTTATCTCAAGACGAAAGGTCGAAGTTTTGGGTGGGTCAAAGATCTTTAAAGTCTTCATAAATTGAAATCAAATGGTTGCAAATGACTTTATGACAACGTTATAATCTAACATTAAAGCCGATTATTTGTATGTTTGACTCGGGGTGGCGCAGGTCCCCGGAATATTTGTGTGAACAGCTTGTTATCTTTTCTAGTAAAACTTACAAACTGTATTGGGTCAGATTTTAATCTCGGAGATAATCAAGTTCCTCTCCCATGCTGCAATACAGGCAGACCGATGGCACTATATGAACTACACTGAAATATACGCTGTAACTGTTGTCTTAACTTGATAATGTTCGAAAGTTGACAATGTTTCTTTGTGGTTTCTTTGTTTGTTTGTTGATTAACGTTTCACTCAGTAACATTCCAGCTACATGACGACAAGCTGTACATAATCGAGTCTGGACCAGGCGATCATCCAGTGATTGCCACCATGAGCATCGACCTTCGTAACTGGGATATGATGACATGCATCAGCTAAGTCAGTGAACCTGGCCACCCGATCCCGTTAGTCGTCTCTTGCGACAAGCATGGGTTGCTGAAGACCAAAAATGTATCTCGCCTGGATCTTCACGGGGCCGCTTCAAATTAGGAAAAGAGGAATGTATATACATATGCATCAGTGATACACTTCCTCCAGTTAGCTCAAGACACAATAACAATCGGACATCATGCTAATTGCCATTCACAGAAACCTTGTTTTTCACTTCTAAAACAGGTTTAACGTGTGGGGGGTAGTATCTTCACAGTCTTAGTTTAAAGCCATCAAAGGCCGGGTGAGGTTCCCAGAAAGGAATAGACTAGTGTAAAAGAGGGGGGAACATATCCACACTCATTGAACAATATGGAATTATTTTCGTCGCATAAATTTGTGTGCATTTTTTCCATGATAGTATAGTGAGCGAGTGAGTGAGTATGGTTTAACGCCGCTTTTAGCAATATTCCAGCAATATCACGGCGGGGGTCACCAGAAATGGGCTTCACACATTGTACCCATGTTGGGAATCGAACCCGGGTCTTCGGCGTGACGAGCGAACGCTTTAACCACTAGGCTACCCGACAGCCCCCCTCGTCATGGTGCGTATAGTCGTTATTCACTTGGGTTTCTCGTCATTTCTCTTACCATTTTTGGATGTGTTAACATTATTATTAATTCCTCAATACAACATGACTAAATACAGTTTCAATGGTTTGGGGGCGGTCGGGTAGCCTAGTGGTTAAACCGTTCGCTCGTCACGCCGAAGCCCCGTGTTCGATTCCCGACATGGGTACAATGTGTGAAGCCCATTTCTGGTGACCCCCGCCGTGATATTTCTGGAATATTGCTAAAAGCGGCGTAAAACCATACTCACTCACATCAATGGTTTTGATTATTTATGTTAAGTCAAACAGTTTCCATTTCCGACCACAAACGTTGGTGATCTCGATTCGAGATGGTCTGGTTTTCAGTCGATATTAACTGATTTTACGTCAGCTTCAATACGGATTCCCTCAACAACGCAATTGTGTACAATCTACAGGGTCTCGACCTGAAGCCCGATATTCGTTGTATGGTTGCTTTCTTCAGGGGTGTTCATTAAAGGTTTCCCCTGACCCACTTCCGATGGACCTAGTGGAATGAAACTTGGCATAGGTATTAGTCTTTCTCCACATAGGAACCACCAAGAGTTACACACTTCTCCCATCGTTTTATGTAACTATGGAGACCTCGCTTGTAAAAGCCCTCATTTTGCGTCTCAAACCAGGACTTGACTTCAGAAATCAGTGTTTCATTATCTGTGAAACGTTTTCCCTTCAAAAATGACTTCATTGTTGGAAAGAGGTGGAAGTCAGATGGTGCAAGGTCAGGAGAGTAAGGAGGATGTGGAAGGATTTCATAGCCACAGGAACGTGCTTCTGTCTGGGCAACATGAGAGTTGTGTACTGGAGTATTGTCTTGCAGGAGACAGACACCCTTTGTCAGCATGCCACGCCTCTTAAGCTTGATAGCGTCCCGCAATTTCCGCAGCAGTGAAGCATAATAAGCTCCTGTAATTGTGGTACCCTTTGCCAAGAAATCCATCATCACTACTCCGTGCTGGTCCCAAAACACCGTGAGCATGACCTTGCCTGCAGACGGTTGGACACGTGCCTTCTTTGGGGGTGGTGACTCCACATGCTTCCATTGCATCGACTGAACTTTAGTCTCAGGATCATAGTGATGGACCCATGTTTCATCCTGTGTGATAAATCTGTCAAAAAAGTTTGCCTGGTTTTTTTTGGCACATGTCCAAAAGATCCTTTGAGCAATTGACTCGTTCCTGCTTTCTGAAAGGTGTGAGCAACCTGGGAATCCATCGTGCAGACACCTTATGCATGTTCAAATTGTCATGGATGATTTTTTCCACAGACCCTACACTGATCTTGACATCTTGTGCTAACTGGCGAACAGTTATACGTCGGTCTGCCAAAATGGCGGTCTCCACTTGATGGATAGTGTCCTCATCAATGGCTGAATGGGGGCGACCAGGAATGGCAGCTGTTTCCACAGATGTCCGACCACACTTGAACTGGCGATGCCAGTGTTTAACAACATCATATGATGGGGAATCTTCCCCATAAGTTGCTTTCATTTCATCGAAAGTTTCTTTTGGTGTGCGACCCTTCAAATATAAAAACCTAATCACTGCTTGGTATTCTACTGGCTCCATTGTCACACCCTACTCGATCATAACACCTGTAAAAGTGGTAAGATTAATAGTTCGGTGCTGCAAATTCAGACATAACCCATAGATACATGTATCATTACACATGTGAAATTTCAACCAAATACGATAACCCTAAGTGGTTAAGGGGAAATCTTTAATGAACACCCCTCGTATCTAAGCAACTGGGATACGATGACATGCATCAACCAAGTCAAGGAGCCTCTTACGACAAGCATGGTTGCTGAAGACCCGGATCTTCAAGGAGTTTATTTTGGTACAAATATCTTCAGTGAGTTAATGCCAAAATGATCCAAAGGATTCTCGGGGAAAGGTCAAATATTTTGGACAAAACAACTTACAATAAAATCCGATCAATTTGAAAGTTGACAACGGCCGACAAGCACAATGCACCACCATGATGTAGGTTTACTGGACCTTAAGCCAAAAAACACTTCTATCCTGAAGGATAATATGAACATCCTCCAAACATTAATATGCCCAGCCTTTCTCTGAATGGTGTTTGTAGGGGGTGATTTACAGACCAACACAGAAACATGACACAGACTCCGAGCTGACCAATCCTTGTTTTAGCCCTTCAATACCCAGCGCCAAGTAGGGTAACAACAAGTTCCATCTTAGGGTGCGTCAGTATGGTTTTACGCCGTTTTAGCAATATTCCAGCAAAATCACGGCAGCGGAAATGGGAAATGGGCTTAACACATTGTACTGATGTGGGGAATGATCTTAGAAGACACCTGATATAAATCCTCAGTTGTTGAGGAGCCACTAATTGTGATCTGACATATTCTTGGCCTGTTGTCTACACCTGGTCCATTTTGAACATACATCTAGGGCATTTGACGAAACCTCGATGTCCCTTTTTACTGGCACATAATCATCATTTAACCCAATTTGCTAAAAATGAATTGGAGTGTGTGCTGTAATCTGATTGGTTGAAAAACAAGATAAAATGGGATTCGAATCTCTTTGAATAATGGAAGCATGTGACGTCTTCAGTTGTATCATGTCTTTCTCACATCTGTCAGAGTTCACGCAGAGAGAGAGGGAGAGTGCATTAGGAAATGACTGACTGACTTCTGTGTTTTGCAATGTTGATAAACATTGTGTTTTCAGATTTCCAGGGATTTACTGAGCATTCCTTGCAGGAAATATTACCATTTTACCACTCTCAGTTCCAAAGGAAATTTCTGGGCATTGAATAACTCATTAAGACCACCAAAACAGAACCTTTATCTCCCAAATACTCACTCACTCACTCACTCACCCAATCACTCACTCATTTAGCCAAGTAAGTCAATAGTGACTATTTACAGAAACTTTGCAATAGCATGTTTTGGCAACATACCAATTTCTCAGCTGCTCAAACCAAGAATTCACCAAGCAGTGTTAACATTAACAAGAAAAAGAACTGCATATCCATGTATGTCATAAAAGTCATGACACTATTTAATGTGAAAATATATAAGCACTGAACAGAAAGTACATGAACCCTTGAGTGGGCTATCAGGCAAGGGGAAGTAATCCAGTTACAGTATGTGTGTTGGCAGCACCTCTGCTCTTTGCTGCACAGTAACATGTGTCCACGTTTCAACATTTTACACCATCAATACTGATTGAAATAAATCTGACCAGCAAATTTTCACTTCTCTACAACAAGAACCACCAAAGGACAAGTAAACAAAAGAATGTGGAAGATAATTTAAAATTTGTCTCATTCACATTCATATTTACTTAATATATCTACCAAAAGAGAGGCTGACCACTACTACAAAAAAGTGCCAAGTTTGCCAAGTTTTCAGGCAAGTGGACATAAATGCCTCCGGAAGATGCTGTCAGCCATATCTGCCTACACTGACTTTTAAAACACTGATTTGATTTAATGAATGTTGGCCATTATTTTTACATATTACGTGAAACATGTCAGTTTTGATCCGCTGCTGGATTGTCATATCTGTTAGTCACTGTCGTCAATCTGTACAATATCCTCCTCCTCCTCTTCAACATCAACATCAGCATCCTCATCACCTAGATTCACAATTTCCACATGTTCCATAACTTCTTCGGGAGACGACGGTCGCGTGTGGACTTCCCCCTCGCCGGTACCTTCATCTTCATCATCATCGTCCATTTCCTGCAAGAAACAAAGCCACATAAACCCCTAACATCCCATAATGTTTTCACTGTAAACAAATTCTTCCAGCTTTTCAATGTAAACATTAGCATTATTTGGCCAAAAACAGAGATGCTAATTGACGGTGTTTCAAATGATCCTCAATGGCATTATCCTTGATTATGTTAATTAGATACATTACCTTATATTACAAGGAGGTTGATACATGAAATTCATATACAGAAATATAATTGAAGCATAAGAGTTTTAAATTACTTTAACATGTATATGGGGTTAATCATTTAAAGATTAAAATTGTGGATTTCAATTCATTTATGTAACAAAACTTCCACATCAAAGAATTTAAATATATACTTAAATTTCACAAGATAAACAAAACTCTTTATTTCACTCCAACATAATGAAAAACTTAAATTGTAATGTCCTCACTACGTAATCAAAATATAAAAGACAACTTTACATACCTAACTAAACTTGCCATACACAAATGAATGTTAATTCATGATACTAAACATATGTTAGTAGTACAGATATCGGAGAAAAACGTCCACAGTTCATCATTACAAATGGACAAATCCAAAGATTTATTCATGGTTCACATTTCATGAACATTTCCATAATCATGATAAGAACCCTAATCTCACAGCATAAGCTCTTATTTTAAGTCCTGGCTATAAGAAAAGATCCTGTTATGTGGAGTTTTATAATCACAAATACTGATATTTATATATTGCTTGTAAATACCATTATCTATTTAGTCAGACATAAAGATTTGGATCTGTCCAAGCTAGAGACAAGTACTCATCCAAGCTGCAAGTTGACAATCAAACTCCAGTGAAAAGCAACAGTGTAAATAATTTCGCATAACGTAAGCCAGAGGAACTCTGAAGCGAACGGTAACAAAGCAGTCATCACAATGGTCAGGGAAGACGTTCGCGGAATAATTTCACCTCCATCAGTCTAACAAATATCATGTGTCGGTAACACAATCACTTTATTACAGGATGCCGAAACATAACATATTTAGTTATTTCCAAATTAATTGTCACTTTCCAAAATCAATAGATTTCAAGAACAACCTTAGGTTGTAAAGATAAAAAACTTGGAACTACCACCACAAGAAAGCGTGAAGATGTGAACAGGCTCCATATAGCAACCCTGCCTTGCCGTGCTACAGGTGTGAATTGGTGCACATACAGCATCTGTCAGACATACGGATTAATCCAAGCAACCCAGCCACAATATCCCACGGTACTGCTTCCACCTCATTCCAGTATCTAGCCACACAGTACCAAAGACAGCCAACAGCAGCTCAAAACCATAGTTCTCAAGTTTTAAAGGTTTCCTGACCATTGTGAATAAAAGAATAAGTCTAATAGCTGATAAGGGTGATAAATAAAATAATACAACACGTGTGTGTCTCTTTCTCTGGAGAGGTCTACATGCAGCAGCACCAAAAAGAAAAAAAACATTGTGAAACTTTTAGCAAAGGAAAATATATCCTTATTATGTTTTACATCTCTAAATTTGCATCCAAATTTGTACTGTTGAAACTAATTTTTGCTTCTTACTGGGTTTTGTCATGTTGATGAAATGCTGAGAGATTTCTCATCTCCATATTCCTAAAGTAACTTTATTGCCTAGTTAATGTGTTACTGCCCTGTGTAATGCTCAAGATCATTTAAAACTGTTGCAGTTGTGTTCCTTGTCCGATAGCTATGAATACATGTATCTGTAACAGTATCAAATCTGATCAGTTTTAACAAACTAAGATGCTGCTCCAGATTATATATTCTTATATATGCATACACTGCAGAAAATTCCCTTCAAGCCAGAATACATTAGTGCAAGGTCCTAGTTATACCTAAGTCCAAATACATGTTAAGAAGGAATATCCTTCACAGAGGTATACATGACAGGAGGTGTGTGAGAGTGGACACTGACCGACTCATCTGTGGGGTCACAGGCTTCACAGTGCCACGTGTACCCTCGGGGTTTGGGGGACTTTCTGGTGGGGGGATTCAGACACTGGAAGTGGTAACACAGCTGGCACTCATCACAGCTGAAACATGGGATGTCAGAAGCATCTTAGCTACATCGTGGAAGAAAATATGCACAAAAACTAAAGCCAACATTATAAAAGAATTTGACAAAACGGTGAAGAGCCAGGGGCAGATCCACTATCTTAAAACTGGGGTGCACATAATACCTAAGTCATGAAGCGACTTGGCCGAGAGCGCAGTTAACATGCGCGGTGTCTGAAATAAGTGCCGCCCTGGAGCTTCCCCACTGGATCCGACAGTGAACACAAGGGTTATTAGGAAGGTCAAATCACAAAGTGTTGTTGAAATGGAAAAAACAAGTTGAGATTAAGCTACATATATTACCCATATAACTTTATCTGCTAAAATTCTGGAGTAGTGGCCAAAAATTCAATTTGAGCCTTTGAATAGATTTGTGTTCATATTGATGGCATGAACAAATTTAAACACATAATTATGTTGAGCAATACTTAACATAAAAACATTAGTTTCAGTAAAAATGGCTGCCAAATAGTCCAGTGAGTTTTCCAATATGGCTGCCACGGCTGCAGACGGACAGGTTGCCTACCTGACCAGGTTGCTGTTGGATCCAGGTTGGTTACACACAACACACAGTGTTCTCTGCTCCTCTTCTTTTATAGGTTTTGTAGGCTTCTTTGGGGCAGAAGTGGTGGGAGTCATCTTGGTTTTCTTTGGTGGCTGATAATTGAAAAAAAACAGCTGACTACTTAATTGCTTGATACTACCACTTTCATAAATGTGAATTTTCTTATTTGCAGAGATATACATGATAGCAATCCTGAAGTGAAGATGAAGAGAAATACTAAATTTGAAGTTCTGTAATTTCAAACATACCCATTCTGGATAGAAAAACTGTAAGCAGCCTAAAATGTAACCAAGATTTGAATGCATCCAATATGTTCTTCAGTTGTCTTGTTAGAGGTTAAGAAAGAAAAGTTGCAACATATTGAATACATATCTAGCCTTGAAGAACATTGAATACACAATGCCATTTAGAAAGTGGTCAAATGTGACAAATGTTATATTTGGGATAACACTTTCTTAGTAAAGTAGAGATTCTCGTACTTTTTCGGGTTGAGTCCTGTCCGGGATTCGAACCCACACTTGCCAGAGTGAGGCACCTAATTGCCAGCACACAAAGTCAGCGATCTAACCCACAGCCACCAAGGCTTCCACAAAATGAAAGTCCAACAAGTGGTAGTCTAGATCACGTACTTTGAGTACCCCTCTGACAAGTGTAGATTGGCACGGCTACCATGACCGAAAGCTATGAATACACAATGCCATTTAGAAAATAGAAAGTACAAGAATCTGTACTTTACAAAGAAAGTGTTATCCCAACATTTGTTACACTTGAAGAACATTGTCGAATTGCCCATACTTCAACAATGTAATGATAATATACAATCAGTCATCAGTGAGAGCCATGTATGTAGGTCTGAACATAAGATGTTCCCTTTTGTCTTTATATTAACTCAACCGCCTCTGTGGTCTAGTGGTACAGCCTCTGCCCTGAGAGAGGAAGGTCTGGGGTTTAATCCCCAGCTGCGTCATGCCAAAAGATGGTACAAGTCTGGCACTCAGGATTAACGACTGTTTGGCTCGAAGTCAGTATACTGTGTCTGAGTGGGGTATTCATATTAAAATCGGCATTAGTGCGATCTAGTACAAGCATGCGCGTCCACCTGCCGGCCTGCCCATCTGCCCATCCCGCCCGCCACACACACTTATAGCTATATAAGCATAATAACCTTGAACGTGAGGTTAAACCCCATGTCACCTCACCTCAACCTATACTAACTCAAGATACCCAAGGTGCTTACAGTTGCACAACAATTCCCTGTGGTCTGTAGCTCACATAGATATGTAGTCAAGAGCCTAAAATGTCAACAAAGCCAGCCACTTGACAAAAGTTGCTCTCAGTTGCTCTCTACACAAGTACTGAGGGAAAACAAACTCTAAACACATGCCCACTGACTACAGCTGTCTGCAACTCACTGGTTCTAAAACCGGTTCTTGTTCCAGCTCTGGTTCTGGTTCTGGTTCTGGTTCTGGCTCTGGCTCTGGCTCTGGCTCCTCCAGTTCCAGCTCTGGTTCCGGCTCTGGTTCAGGTACAGGAGTAGGAATTATCTCCACCTCTTCTTCCTGTTTCTCTGGTTCTACAATCTTCTTCTTCCTGCTGTTGCTGCTGCTGCTGCTGCTGCTGCTCCTCTTGACACTCTTGCTTTTGTTCCTCTTCTCTTTCTGCAAGGAATACTGTTGGTGAGATCAAACTTAATCAAAGGCCATCAGACATGTCACTTCGCCGAAACAAATTAATTTATTGACAACAATACATATGGATGAGACAATTTTCAGTGGACAGAAGAGGGGTTGGATATACATGACTATAGTCGTAGCTATCATGGTTTTTTACATGCCCGCTGTGAAACCTATGAAAAGTTTGTTTGTTTCTTCATATAAGCCTAATAGGCCCACATGTATCAAACACAAAATGTGACTCCATGGAGTGAGTGAGTGAGTATGGTTTTACGCCGCTTTTAGCAATATTCCAGCAATATCACGGCGGGGGTCAAAGGAAATGGGCTTCACATTGTACCCATGTCGGGAATCGAACCACGTCTTCGGCGTGACGAGCGAACGCTTTAACCACTAGGCTACCCGACCGCCCCTGACTCCATGGAAAGAGGGGTAAATATTCCTAAATAATTCAAAATAAAGGCACCACTTCAGGACAAGATTGATAAACTTGGCATATTTTGTTAAAGAATATTTTATGATTTTCTAGCTCTGCTCTGAAAACGACATCCACCCGATCTCGAGAAGAAGTCAAAATGTTTTCAGGATCTGTTTAATATCTGCCAAGGTTTTTTTGAGAGATATTGAACGGTTTTTGACTTGTGCTCTGGCAATGAAATCAACCCACCCTGCCACTCCCTTTTGAGGCTAAGTCCACATTGGTGCCATGGAATCAAGAAAAAGTAGCTAAGGCACCACTTCAGAATAATATTTGACATATCAGCCAATATTGAACTGTTTTTGAGTTTTGCTCGGAAATGAAATGATTATTAACGGACAAGACGTTGATTATGTCATTCAGAAGAATATATTTTTTTGTCATGAAAACAAAATCTGAAAATTGATTTCATTATGCTGGCATTTCTATTCCACAGCCTGAGTGAGTACTTCAAAAATATACTACTCAAAAGAAGTTAAAGGCAGTTAAACTGTAGAAATATGAAAGAATCGGTTGTTCTTTAACTTCTTTTGTGTAGTATATATGTTATAACTTATTACTACATTATGTGTGAATGAGAAGGTGACCACCTAAGACACAACCATGAAGCTTCATGTCACCTAGATCTCACGGTAACTTTAGGGTTAAAAACTGATGTTTCAGTACCTCCATTTGTTGAACAAGTGTAACCCACATGGACCATCCCCATAAATCTCATACTGTTTCATCAAGAGGGTTCGCTGTATCATGCCAGGGAGTCAGTTGTCAGCCAGATATTACCTTCAGCATCTCAAGTCTCTGCATGTTGACAAACTTCTGAGGTTGTTTGATGGTTTCACGTAAGCGTCGAGGAGCATCAACATTGACGTTACTCTTCTCCACCGACTCATCACTGCTGGAGCTGACGCACTCGGAACACTGCCTGATCACATGACACACAGCATAAATGATGATGAAAGAAAAATAGATAGATGCAGGGACCTCATGCACCTCATTCCCATAGTAAGCCTGATAGTGGTTAGGCTTCAGGTTAAAGTATGTTCCTGTTCTGAAAACAAGGACCTATCACAAAGACATATTCTGTGATACCAGGCCTCAAAGTTGCGACTAAAACAGTCGCCAATGCAACCTAAATTTCAAATTGTCTACTGTCTAAAATACTGAGGTAGCCAAATGACTACCTTGAAAAATATCTTGTGGCGACTAAATTCTATTGATGCATATATGCAGACACAAAAATAAACATGTCTGCTACTAATTGTGCTCGCAAATAATTCCTCTTAAAGTCAACAATGAACCGAAATACATAAATATTAATGTAATTAGTCTTTATTTTAGTTGATAGTTTATTGGATAAGCAAGGATATACCTATATGATCTAGTAACATAATTTAGATTGCATCATTTGAGTCACAAATAATAAAACTCAAGTATAGTTTCCACTAATATACAACAATTGTTATTAATAAAAGATAATTTCAAATGCTTTTGGCTACCTACACTATTGGCTTGACTTCTTGATTTTACCACTGGCTACCTGGAAAAAAATACTTGTAGCCATATGGCTACTTGGAAAAAATTAAACTTTGAGGCCTGAATACCACACTTCATTCTGAAGAACGCTATCCATAGACATGGGAAAAGATATGTGATTGGATTGGAATTGGATTGGATTCTTTTGAATTGGGTTCTATGTAAAGATCTACTCCATAGAAACAGACTGTATACTTCACACCAAGGTAAACTCATATATTTGCAGAAGTTTATCCCTTGTGACAAAACCAAAATGTTCATAAACTCCAGGTCCACACATCGTCACTGCAGAGGGCAGATAGAAAAGTGGTAGGAATCATAGGAACCATTCTAAATGCCTCTCAAAGAAGGTGGGAAACAGACAGAAAAGAGGAAGAGTTGAGGTGAAATGGGGTTTAACGTCACGTTCAAGATTATGGCACTTATATAGCGACGTGCAAGCACGTGTGTGTCTATGTGTGTGGCTGCTTGTACTAGTCCGGACTGATGCCGATTTATAGTGCTAGCCCACTGAGATACCATGCCGCAGTTTAACATGAATACCCCACTCAGACATGGTATACTGACTCCGAGCCGACCAGTCCTTGTTTTAGCCCTTTAATGCCGAGCGCCAGACAGGGTAACAACAAGTACAATTATTTAACGTCTTTTGGTATGACGCGGCCGGGGATCGAACCCCGAACCTTCCACTCTCCGGGCGGACACTCCACCACTAAACCACGGAGGCTGTCGCAGAAAAGAGGACGAAGAAAGGGAAAAAAATGAGTAGGCAAACAGGGAGAGATGATGCAGAATAGCCAGGCAATAACTCTCACAAGACCTTAGCACAACTGTTCTTAAAATATGATCGATCATCTGCCCTCTCCTTATTTGTATTCATTCTCACCAATAGCTATTACAAAACTGGTTCTGACAAAAAGTTTTCAGACTTTCTTTGAGGCATTTGATCAAATTCAACTTACGGTTAATCTCAATTGTGAGATGACAACTCAAACATTCCCAGAGAAAGGAGAGTCTCAAATCTTACAAGGAAAAGGATCTACTGGTACTCACCATCCCTGTAATTTGGTCTTCTTGGGCATTCTGGTGAGAGGTGGGTCGAGACAGCCCAAGTGGTAGTGCTTCTTACAACTGTCACACTTGGCCAGCAGATGCTGGTCTGTTGTCAACACACAGATGCCGCACCTACAAGTACAGACAGAGTTGTCATCCAAGGAAGTTGCTAGGTCAAAGTTACTTTCCCAGGAAGAAGCCTACTTGTAGCACCATCCAAACAAGGAAGTTCAATATCAAAACACAAAACACATGTCTCGGTAATTGTCATTTACCATAAACACTGAAGTCTTTCCAAACAGGAAACAAGTGGCCTTCCTACAGCAACAGAAGCTAACTATCTCTTGATTGTCTTACTTGTGAATGACAGCAGGTGGAGATTTGGGCGTTTCCTTCTTTGTTGGTGATCGAGGGACGTTCTTTGGACGAAACATTTCGGGAATGTTTACTTTCTGGAAAAACACCAAACTGTGTTTGCAACATTTACAAAATTATGTAAAAGTACCACAATGATAACATATAACCGCAAACATGGAAACAAGAAATGACGACTCACGACATATTTTCTAAATTTGGGTGTCATAATTTTATTCACACTAATAACATTGTACAGGTTTCGTGTATAGCAAATCGAGGTCCCACTGATTTCAGACAGGCCCAGCCTTGCTTGTTTAGTAACAAATACACTGTAACTGCAGTGAGTACTAGACAGAAATACCTGGCTGGTGTGTAGTCATGTCAGTTACACATTGTGACGCAAGTTTCTATTTTATAAAAATAATATATAAGTTTCATTTATTTCTGAAAGTTTGTACATATATTTTATTTTAAACAACAAGCGGAGTAGCAGTCAGTATTTTTTTTTTAAACTTGTAAATACTCAGTCTGAATTTAGATTTTCTTAGCAAATTCATTGTCATCAGTTATGACTAGTATGAAAAACATTTGCAAGTATTTCTGGAAATTATGACATCAAATGCCCAGACATTACACGTCATGTAAAACCCTTGTTAACATCTTCAAATCATTCACACACTTTTAAACATCAGCCTCTGCTATGAGTGTTTAGAAGGACATGTTTACACAGTAGTTACCATGGTTACCTTTCCACCAGTTTCTGACAGGTTATCCCACATTTTCTCCCCTTCCTTTCTCAGCTTGGTTGTAGACTCTTTGTGTTTCTCTAGAGCAGCAAACAGCTGCAACACAGGGACAACAGTTACTCCATGGTCACTTCCTTACCACGCTTATACCAGAACGTCTTGATCATGTAACCTGACTAGTATCTGTCATCTATTGGGTACTACAGAGCAGAGCTACTGCCACTGATATCATATCAATAATGTAAGATTACCACCACAATAACAAAAGTCTATCTTTCCAAATGCATAGGCAGTTGACATATATACTACTCAAAAAAGGTTAAGAACCACCCAATTGTTTCATATTGCTATAGTTATTCTGTCATGGCAGGAAAGATTCACTATAACGATATGAAAGGAAGCCCTTAACTTCTTCTGAATAGTATATGTAGACATTAAATAGGATATTTCATGCAAAAAGTTATTTGGATCAGTTTTGCAGTCTTTGCAGAGTACACAGTTGGAACGCAAAATGAACTTACTTGATCATACTGGCTGCGGAGTATTTTCTCTTGATCTTTGAGTTTATCATTCTGTGTGAGGAGATCCTTCATGTTCTGCTTCAGGTTCTCGATACGAGCGTTCCTCTCTACACAAACAGACTTACTGTTACATCAAATTACATCTTCATGTGTTATCAAAGCTTGTCTAAGGTGTTGCAATTTGCTGTGCAGAGTGGCGTCCCTTGGGCACACCGGAAACCTATGATTGTGGGTTTGAATCCTGGTTCACCCCGATTATGTTTAAAGGTGTGTCAGCACCATACCCATCCTGATGTGTTTCAACAAAGTTGTAAATGTCTGAAACCTGCATCACTTAGGGCTTTACCTCTCACAATAAGCGGACACGCCATGGAATACAGCAATAAACCCAACTCACTCACTTTTTGGGAAGTTTTGGGAAGTGTTAGGGCAGAATAGTTCCATAGTAGACCATACTTGTCACAGCAGCTGACGAAACTAGGGATCAAGTGGCTACAACAGCGTTAGAAATTGGCACCAGTCCTACAGTCCTTGCCAAACAGCCCAACAGTTACGGTATCATAAGGACTAGTAGAAATTTGCCCTTTTTTAGGGTTTTGCTATATGTTATCATTTTAAGGACTAGTGGGCAAAAACTGTTAGTTTCTATCGCTGCTACAATGTGGAACTGTATTGACTGTGTGTCACCGTCATGATATCCTAACTATGGATCATTGTTCATTCTTTCACTCACATTCACTCAGTCTCACAAAAAGTATGTCTCCTTTGAAGGTTAAAATAGATCAAGTTATGTGAGACCACGGCTTCCCATGTAGGACAGGACAGCTGATAAGGTAGACATCGATCCCGAATGCTGACAATAAGTCTGTGGAGAACTGTGCTTGTGATCAAGCATCCAAACACTCAGCAGCCTTGACAGCCATCCAATCGAAACTTAAGTGTTGTGCTAAAAGTTGTTTAACTGTGAACTGTTGACATATTTCTACCCAACAATCACAAGAGTAATCAAAACCACACAGGCTCATTAGCAGACAAAGTTAATAAGAAAAAAGTGCTGGCCATTTGTAAGATGAACAAAAGACCTCAGTAGCATTTATTAATCATTACTGACAAGATGACGAAATGCTAGAGGAGTCTTAGTTTATATACCAGTGCCCCTCAGACACAACTGTTTTGTTTTGTTCATGTCACAGAACAGCAATAATCTAGCTACATGACAATGGACTGTAAATAATCAAGTCTGGACCAGACAATCCAGTGACTGATATTGTGAGCAATGATCAGGGCACGATGACACAATATGACCCAAGTCGTCAAGCCTGATCACCCAATCCAATTATCGCCTCATATGATCTAGATAGATTGCTGGGGACCAATTCTAACCTGAAATCACTAAAGTATAACCAACATACGTTGCTTGGAACCAGTTCTAACCCAGAATCCATACGGTACGGCTAGCATAGGTTGCTGGTACCAATTCTTACCCTGAAACCTCACAGGGGAGACAACTGTAACTACTTCCACCTACCAAGATAGTAGCCTATGAAGTCGGATGTTAGAGCAGGAGCAATGTGCAACTTCTTCCGAGTTTCTTGCTTCTCGTGCCCATGGGAGGAGTTATGAACCTGGAACAAACACGTACTGGAGCTGTCACTAGAATCAAGGTTATGTGTACAAGGAAATCAAATACAAGTGTTCTGATGACAAATGCTTGTAAGAATGTAAAAGGCTCACCTGTGTTATGACGCCCATGAGTTCAGCCTTTTTCAACATTCTTCTTACTGCTGACGGGCTTGAGGTCAGAAATCTCACTAACTTTTGTGTTGGCACTGGTTAAAAACAATACTATTTGATGAAAAAAGAAATCATACAACACAAAAGAAGTTTAAGAACACCCAATTGTTTCATATGACTACAGTTAATATGGTCATCCAATGAAATCAGGCTTGTTTTGCAGGATGTTCAGAGAATAATCAGACTTTGACAGGATGTATGTGTTGTTTGTTTCGTAGTTGTTTAACGCTGCACTCAACAATATTCCAGCTATATGACGGCGAATAATCAGGTTTGGACCAGACAATCCAGTGATGGATATCATGCGCATCAATCTACGCAATTGGGATACAATGATATGCATGTATGTTTTGTTTGTTTCGTAGTTGTTTAACACTGTACTCAACAATATTCCAGCTATATGACGGTGAATAATCAGGTTTGGACCAGACAATCCAGTGATGGATATCATGCCTATCAATCTACGCAATTGGGATACAATGATATGCATCACACAAGTCAGCGAGCCTGACCACCCATCCCGTTAATAGCCTCTTACGACAAGCATAGTCACCTTTCCTGGCAAGCATGGGTTGAAGATCTATTCTTACCCGGATCTTCATGGGTGGACAGGATGTATGCAAACCATACACATGTAACAATGATCACTTTGGAATCCGAAAATATAACCATCACAATACCATCCAGAAGTTTATAGTGTTGAGTTCTCTTGAGAATGACTAGCTGAAACATTGCTGTACACTTGTACATTAATAAACTCAATATCAGTCAGTCCCACACATACCCCATGAAGGCGGACGCCTTGACTTTGCGATGGCATATTTCTGTCGATGTCTGTTGAGTTTCCTGTGAAATCTTGCCTGAAATTATCACCAATTTGTTATGACTTTCATACACATACATAACTTGCAACATTCAACAAGATGATTCTCTGATTGCAACTGACAATGTTCATAGATGAACCTTAGCTTTAGGAACTACTGCATAGAGATGTAAGTTCAGACGTGACATTAGGGCTAGGACGGGTAACTCCGGTAACTCGGGTACCCGGGTTGGGTGGGTACTGAGTTGGACCCGGGTACCCACAGGACTACCCGGACCCGTGGTTAGTCACGTGATACATTGTTTAATGACAAAAAATATCTAGAACTCCATGGTTACACTACAAGTCACTAATGTTCGCATTTCTTTCTGACTGCACACATTCCTTCTGATTTTTCATATGGTTGAATAAAGATATAACTTAATTCAACTTCAGTGTATGAATTACCAGATTATTCAATACGTGTATCTAAATATATTTTGCCAAGGCTATGCTAAAAATGTTCCCAATCGGACATTATGAGACATCTCCTGAGATCTACAGTGGGTACCCGGGTAGGGTGGGGTAATAGGGGGGTGGGTACCCGGGTAGTAAATTTGGACTCGTCCCAGCCCTACATGACATCACCAGACAACACCAAACACCTAGACCCTACTGTATACTCAACGGAATGTTCCACCTTTTCTTTCTCATCTTCCAGGACTCTGTCGGAGTGGCGCCGGACATGAGACTGGATGGCAAGCCAGTTGCGTCTCTTCGCACGAGCAGAGTTTTTGTCTGCATGGAGTTTGCAGTAAGCAAAAAAAGGGTCAGCTATATCCTGGAACAAAAGTATGGAAGGTTTAAAAAACTGTTAACATAGAGGAACCAGGAAAAAATCTTGTAACTTGTCTCCATTACCAGACAAAAATGAGATGCATATTTGAAACAACTTATCATCAATACAGCACAGGTTTATGTACACTACATTCCCTCTCATTAGCTGTGGTAACCATATATCTGTGCTGCTCCCTATAAAGGATTTTCCTTTTGACTAATCGCTACACAGAACTACAGGCTGTTCCATAGCGCTTTCCCAATAGATTCCCGATTCGCACACATACTGAACATATGAACATACCGCACGAACATACCGCACTGACAACCCTGCCATAATGTACACGAATCGTAATCCTGCGAAAACTCAACACAATACTCTTCCTAAAACGTGTACCTTCAAATATGTGTACTTCTGCTTTCCATAAATCCACTTATCGGGTTAGAATCATCGAGAGGGTACGGATTTTTGGCCATCATCACTGAGCACTTTGCAGATACAAAAATCTTTACTTGCTCAATTTCAAATTCGATAAGTAAACAAATTGCTGCAGAATCTAAATATATTTTAGTACTCAAGTGTCTCTGAAAGTGAATCAAGTTGCATTTCTTGTTAGATCATGGTGTATGCACTTCGACAACGCACGTAAGTGGGATGCAGATTTGGATCGGGGATGTATTGGGAAAACACAATGAGACAGCCCTTAGCTCTGTGTAGAGACAAGTGATTATCAAAATCATTAATAGGGAGCAGCACCTAGATACAGCTTCCTTGTCACCTGTGAATGCAATGGGCCACAATGCATTGTAGTGCAACTTCTACCAATAATTCAAGCCACGGACTGCTTTCAGAAAAAAGAGTGTCACTTGGTCCTCCGACCAATGAATGTCCAGGTCACATCAGATGAAAATAAGCATGAAATACTCATATCCCCCACCAGTGGTATGTTAGACTCATAGTCTCTCTCCACAAACACTGATTACTACGCTGCTAGCTGACTGGTACCTTTAGCCTTCTCAGTAGGGCGGTTGTACTATGAAAAGATCACTGGGAGCAGTATTAACCATTGGATACATTGGGGTTTTCCATTTGTTTTGATGGAATAAGAAAAAATATGAAAGATAAAAAAACTTGACCCTTAATTTCAGCCAATCACATAATTTATTATTTCTAGTTGAAAACATGGTGCATAAGCTCTAACAAACATAGGCTTGATTCAGGACACAAAGAAGCAGAACCACCTTAAGAATGACCTTTCAATGAAGGTGACCTTGACCTCCTATGAATGTGTATTTGACCCTCAATGAAGGTCACTTCGATGCCCCTCTGTATTTGGCCCCACCCCAAGCAAGACACGTTCCAAGTTTCATTTAACTATAGTAAATCCTACTGGAGTTAGATGGTAAATCCCTATTTACAAGTATCGATCAGATGCACACAAAGCAATAAAATATCGATTCTTACCTTAAAACGTTTGCTTTAATAATTGTTTCACCAAACAATTATTTGTAGTGAAAATTACTGGTGAAAATGTAAATATATTCATCTACTGCCCCATATTTGACACTGCCAACTTTAAATAATCAGTGTGCTAGGCATTTGGCCATCTTGTCTATGACAAAGATGGCTTACAAACCACAGATAAGAGCACGTTCAAGTATCGTTATATGTATTGGATCATAAGTATGGTATCTTGATACTTATCAGATGGCACAGTTGGTGTAGCATCCCACCCCTACTCAATGGCAGGGTTCACAAAAACAACAGCTTAGGGCTATATTGACTTCTGAGTTGTACACGGACCTAAGTTAATAGTGACTCAGGTTAGAGTGTCGCCACTACATCACATAGCAGCCTTATGTATTTACAGGTGATGAAAGAACGTAAGGCACACAAGCCTGTTGAGTACTGACAATGGAGAGGAAATTGATAAATTTGTTTTGTTAAGCTTATTTCCTTTACAACTATTAAATTCTCTAAAAGAGTTTTAAGCTTATAGCAGGAATACAAAAAGGAAGAGAGAATAGTGAACGTAGAACAGATGTTTGAGAAACACATTTCAGAGTGAGATTTATTGCCCTTTTTGCACCAGTTCTACTTTTCATATTAACGAAAGTGTAAGCCAATCTATTCCTGTCCAAATCATTCAACATTCTTGACATGTTGCTAAAAGCATGTGGTTGACCAGGTTCAATATGCTGTGTACGTTCTGGTGTGAAGTAGCTTGGTGCAACAAGGAAGGGCCAAATCCCACCCTGACAATTGTACTACCATTACTTCTTCAGGTGAAGCTTCTGACAGCAGACCTTCTCTCTGAGCACTGAAACATACACAACCACCCGTGATCAGAACAAAGTATAATCAGAGTGAGTGAAATGGGTTTAATGCCACTTTGAACAGTATTCCCGTTATATTCCAGCATGTAAGCTTAATGTGGGAGGAAAGCCCGAAGTGACGTTTACCACTTTGGTGAAACACACAAGCAAGGGTATGGTGCTGACAAACCTAGAAACATAATCGGGCGAACTTCGAACCCACGATCATAGAATTCTGACGCTTCAGACAACTTAGTCGCCTGTGCCCCCTCAATAATCAGAAAATCATCAAGCTGTTATCATCTTACAAAAAAATATTCAGCTGTATTAATGTCATAAATGTTACAACCCTTACAGGAAGAAAGCACCTTAGTATCACTTTGTCAGAAGATTGGGATCGAGTTCAAAGACCTAAACAGTAGCGTCTGTACTTACCATGTGACGTGGAAGTATGTTCTACACATGCCAGCATCACAGCTAATACACACTCCAGTCCGGCAAAACCGTGCATCTTCACACAGTGCACACTCCTGCAATAACACAAGGTTGGTCAACAATTCACACAACTTAATGCCGTCTTCATCACAGTTTTTCAACTCTGTGAACCTTACATGTGCTGTGAGCAGTATAACTGAGTATCACCTGGTTTCTTGTGATACGATTCATAACACAATACAGACTGATGATACAACTGGTATCACGATACACATCAAATAGTAAGAAATACTGAAATCACTAAAATACAGCTCTAAAACCTCTTTCTACATACATGTACATTAATGTATTGACATCTCAAAATCTCTGACAAAGAAAACCACAAGAACAAAACAGGTTTAAATGAAGGGATGGTTATTAAATGTAACAGTTAGTCACCGCGTCCTCAGCCACAAGGCCCACTTGCACAAAGCGATCTTAGCGCTAAGATGATCGTAACTCATATACTTTAACATAGGCTTACAATAGTCGTAGCCCTAAGATCGCTTTGCGCAAGTGGGCCCAGGTCCTTGTGTTCTGCCAAGCTTACAGGTGGCGCTGTGCTACTTCTGCCATTATGGGAGGTAACTCTATTAGTTCCTGTTTCAATTAATAGCGTATCACGATCTCACAAACTGATGATTCAAGTATCTGGTGTACCTAAGTATTGATGATATCATTACAGCCCTAGTGAGCACATATAATACAAGACCTAAAAATATTTCATATTTCCTTGAGGAAATGAAGTTGATTTGGTTCAATATTCTCCTAAAATGTCCTCTCACCCTTGCTCCCCATCGCACATAGGGCATCTCAAACAGTGTAACGGGACTGAGCTTGTCAACATCTCCGAACGCCACACCAGGGGTATACAAAGCACACACAAGGTGTACCCATCTACAACAGAAAATAGTAAGTCAATGAGAAGGGAATTACCCTGCTTGGAACAGTTCTATCATGGCATTTCAGATTAAACTTACGCAATCTCATTAAAATCAGATCTTAGTTCTCGCTAGCGGTAGCGAGAACTAAGATCTGATTTTAATGAGATTGAAACTTACGCAGCTCAAAGACATTGAAAACTTTGCTGAAACAAGGTATGGTAAAAATCAGGTCGAATCAGGTAATAACACAGCCAGGACCCAGTCTGCACAGCTAATTGAAGTGTTGACCACAGGGCATCCTATGACTTGCTTTAGAAATGAATGGATATCCCCAATTAATAACAATTTTTAACAGAAGTCGTCCTTACTTGCCAGCATCTGTTTCCTTGTATATACCACCAAAGTTGGGACACAGTTCGCAGTGCTGTTGACAGAAAACATGGCCTTGAAAGATAATATTCACAGTTAATCATTCAAAATGGGTGCTCATGTAGTTCAAAGTCAGAACACCGAGTCACTGCTTTATGCCAGTATTACATCCACTTCATCGTTCAACCTGAGCATGAAAGTCAAGGGGTCCTTGTCAAAACCTTCGTTAAAAGTCTAGACATGGGGGTCCCTAGATTCAAATACAATAAGAGGAAACCTTAAGGACATCAGGAATCTTCCTAATCTCAAATACTGCTCTTTTACACATCTGCAACTCTTATCAGTCTTAAAAGACAAACACAATATTTATCAGGTCTCTTAGGTTTAGGTGTTTTAGATATCTTTGAAAATTATCCCAGTTTGCTTTTCATGCCATGAAAAAACATGACCATCTATCATTGTCAGCTTCCTAGAAAAGCAAATTTTGAAAAGTGATATGATCACAGGAGATATTTTCCATTTATTAATTAAATTGTTCTAAATGTAGGGTAAGTAATGCATCTGTTGCAGACATTGATCACATACAGGTTTCACTCCAGCCTTGCAAGCATCACAGAACCAGGGCTCCGTGCTCGCAGACGACTCCGTGCTGGCGGCAGACTGACTCTCACTGATACCATAGCAACCTGGAATATACAACACTTAATTACAACCATCCTATGTTAGACAGTGAGCAGTGTAAAATTTACAATAAATTGTAAATTAATATATACTTATTCTATCTCACACTATGCATTTCTCCTTATACTTCGATGTGGTGTGGAAACGTCCTCGAACAAAGTTTCCAGCTTCAAAAAGCAACTAACCCCAACACATCCCATACGTCACTATAGTAACCACTGTAATCATTGTGCACGCACCATTGCAATCCTGTGCGATGCGACCCCTTGCGATATAATCACCTAACATTCCCTGCACCCTCATTCTCTACAGGCTGGTGTAACTGTGATGCAGGGATGCTTGGGTGGTTGAAAGCTAAGGATATTTTGTATGCTTGAGCACAGCATAATTCACTCATTTAGATATCATAAATTGTATTGCAGAGCGTTGTTATACAGGCAGGCATTGTTGCAGTCCTCTACGGAAATTAAACTGCTTTCTTTCAGTTCAGGGACTAAGTCCAAACTATGAAAAAGAAAAATTTGGAGGAATCATAAGTAGCAAAAGGCACTATATGGTCAAAGTGTGTACCAAGTTTCATGAAGATATGTGTAATAATTTTTGAGTTCTGCTCAAGAAATGAAACCTGCTTCCACTCAGTCCAAATTTTTTTAAAATATATAAAACATAAAAGAGCAAAAGGCACATCTACACCACATGGTGAGTGTGTGTACCAAGTTTTTTAAAGTTATCTCGGAAATGCCAACTTTGTAAAAACCATCTTGAATGTAACTTTCGAAGTCCTGGTCCTCTAGTGTTGGTTGTTTTGTTGTTTAACCCCGCACTCAGCAATATTCCAGCTATTTGACTGCGGTCTGTAAATAATAATCTAGTCTGGACCAGACAATCCAGTGATTGATATTATGAGCATCAATCCTTGCAATGTGGGATCGATGACATGCATCAACCATGTCAGCAAGCCTGACCACCCGATCCCGTTAGTCGCCTTTTACAACAAGCATAGTCGCGTTTTACAGCAAGCATGGTTTGCTGAAGATCTATTCTACCCCGGACCTTTACAGGTCCGAAGATAAGGTACGGAGGATGATATTGAGAGGGCGAAAGCCAGAGCCAGAGGGCGAAACCGAAATGACTAGTCTGAGTCTGCAAGTCTGACTCCGAGGGTATGGTCGAGGAAGTAAGACCAAGGCAAGAGGGTATCAGCAATGTAAGACTGAGGAGCGAAGACAGATGCATTGTCCGACTGGATCATGACTTGAGACGATTGGAGAAGATCTGTCCAATGACTGATGGCGAGAATGACAGCTTTGAATTCCAGATTGTTGATGTGTAACTTTCTGTCATCTTCTGACCAAAGCCCTGCTGTCTGTCGATCTTAAAGGTGAGTTCCCCAACCATCTGTAGAGGCGTCGACCCAAGAGTTGGTAATTCGGTGTAAATGGCAGCAAGAAGATTTCATCGTAAACATTCGACTCCTGAAGCCGAAGTAGTAGCGACAGGAGCCAAATCTTGCTCTTGTAATTGGCCTCTTGGAGAGAGGGCCTGAGGAAGCACTGTATTGGTCACAGATGTAACTGACCATGTCGAGTGAGGACTTGTGCCGATGTTAAAGTCCCAGGAGTTCTTGCCATTTCTTATCGGTAGCACACATTGTACAGGAAACTTTGTTCTAGTTTCCACACCAGGATTGAATAATAAGGAGGAATGCATAGTGTGAGCATGGTGAGATAGGATAAGTTATAAAAATATGATAAATTCTACCTAGAATAAGTAAAGGTACTACATTACCATCATTACAGCATTTCCTCGCTATTGTGCAGTTCTATATAGTGTTAAGTTGGTAATAGTCAGTATTGCACGGCTTCCCAAATTTATGTACATATTGGATAAACTTTGGGTACACTGACACAATTGTATTGTTGTTTATTGTTCATTTGTACATTTGTAACAAACAAATAAATGAGGGAAATATCTTTACACTATGAATCATAAAAAACTACCACCCAGTATATTCTAATCTTTTTTTCGAAATCTGATATGCAGTTGTGCGGGGTAAGGCGAGGCTATAGAGGCATAGATCGTGTTAGGTAGCCCCAGCCTGTACTGTTGTGGTGGTCATCTACAACTCTACTTCAGATTTTAACACTCATCAACTATTCAGCCCCCAAAGGAAGCATTGTAGCAAGGGATCGCTGTATGTCTGTCTGGTGCGAGAAAATCATGACAGACAATGAACCATCTGTCAAACTGTACCCACTTCTAGTTCCACTCCACCCTTCTTATAATAAATCAATATGTTCATTGAAATCTCTATAGGGATCTGGTGGGAAGACCTCATGGTCAAGGTGATCAGTAGGGCTGGGACAAGTCCAAATTTACTACCCGTGTACCTGACCCCCTATTACCCCGCCCTATCCAGGTACCCGACCCCCTATTACCCCACCCTACCCGGGTATCCACTGTAGGTCTCAAGAGTTGGGAACACAAAGTCTAGTTTAACTGTAGCCCGGGCAAAAACTGTTTAGATACATGTATGAAACCAGAGACCATATAGATATATGGTCTCTTATGAAACGATCAAATCATGCGTACACTGAAGTTGACTAAAGCTTTATCTATAATGTGTAATGTGTGCATCGTCAGAAAGAAATGCGAACATTAGCGACTTGTTGTGCAACCACTGAGCTTTAGTGAGTTTTTATCATTAAACAATATGTCACGTGACTAACCACGGGTCCCGGTAGTAGTGTGGGTTGCCTAATCAGGGCCCACCCGACCCAAATACCCGAGTTACCCGTCCCAGCCCTAGTGATCAGCAAGGAATATTGTATTATTAGGATGCTGCTGTCCATCTAACATTACCTTCATGCACAGACACACCGCAGTTGTCACATTCAACTATTTCATCATCGTCAGCACTGAAAAATAAAGAATCTCCTTTAGCCATCTTGCTTCTCATCCTAATACTTTCAATAATCATATCAGAAAAATAAATGACATTCAGAAAGTAGAAAAGTGACTATTAGTGCAATGCTATTTTTATCATGTCAACAGACATGAGGAAGGAGAATTGTACTACAAGTAAACCTTAAAATGAGGCATCAACATGGCACTAAACATGCTAAAGTCAATGTTGTATTTCGAAAAGACAATCTTTGTGTTCCAAATGAAGAGTTGTTCAAAAATTCAAAAATGAAAAACTGTAATAATCAAGAGCACACGTTTGCTTTGTGTGAAACGCCTCAGTTTTCTCATATGCAGTTTCTTCTAGTGCCTTGTATTAAAATGCTGGAGGTTCTTGTTGAACGTAAGGTGTTTTAATAAATACACTTGACATCTTTTAAGACTCGATTCCATGCATAAACCTTTCCTGAAAAATCAATAAACAGGTATACACTTTGAAGAAACTGTCAGTTCCCATTATTATATACCTAAAAGCCCCCATGGACTTCACAAAGCAGTTACAATTAGAGCACTCTCAATAATGTATCATTTGTTCAGACAACCATCCAGAATACTTACTTTGTATCTGACAGACAAACACAACATATGAGGACTTTAATGTGGCCATGGTTGACTTTTAGCTGTGTTTCAGAGACAGGTGGAAGCTGAAATGAAGCATGCATTGGCTGTAAGCGACAGTAAAATATCTATGGACAGCCATCACCGCGAGGCAAGGGAGTTAACCATTTTAAATGTCCAGTTTCCACCAAACGAGGCTGGATATCATGGAATTATATTTTGGCTGGACTAACGAGTGTTTGCATAGTCAAATCAAATTGATTTGGGTCAATTGCAGGATTAGCAGAACATGTGTTCCATCAACTTGGCATCAACAGATATTTTCCAAATTTGTTCATCTTTTTAATCAAGGTGCTCACATGATATGATGCACTTTGCGAAGTAAGACCTGTTTTATTCCAAAAACGATCTTGATTATAGATCAGATCCTCTTCTCTGTGCGCCGTCATTTTGTTTGAAGTAAATACAAGTGATATCAGAGGTGGAATCTGATTGGTAAATAGGAGGGATACAAGAATTGACATAACTTGTAATAGCCACTGGTGGCGCTACGATCGAGACTAGAATTCCAGTCTAGAGTCAGCAAGGGTGAAAACTGGGCATTTACAGTCAGTTAACTCCCTTACCTTGGGAAGATGGCTCTGAATAGGATGGGAACACAAACGCCAACAGGAGCCGAGCCAAAAACAATAAATCTCCACTCCCTTCATGGAGGCGACATAAATAGAAATGCATGTACTTTCTATTCAAATACTTTTCAGAAAACTATTACAAATAGACCATGGACGGAGGCATGGCCACCACAGGATAAATCTACAAGGATATACTCACTACCAAAACTGTACATAAAAGATCAATAACATACCCAGGAAAACTTTACCTTTTCAATTATGTTTACCAAACAGAGATGTGGATAAAATATTCATCTTTAACAGAAACAACATAATTTCTTCAGTGTCATTTGAACAAATGGATAAAATCTTGCACATATAAATCCCTCAATTTTTTAACATGCAGCAAAGTTTCTTTGATGTTGTTATAATAGTTCTTTGAATCACACAATGAAGTTACCTTGGTTACAGTGTACTGATGTCATACTTATAGAAGGCTGTGTTTGCATCATGCAATTGATGCTTGAAATTAAACTATGTGTGATTGACAGCATGACATATTTCATGACAATGTAGAAACTTACCTTGGCCTCTGGCAACTTCAATTTAACAACTGTGTCTACTACAGCCTTTTTCTGCTTATCCTTCTTCTTTGGAACATAATCCTCATCCTCATCTTCATCATAATCACCGAAAAAATTGAAGGCTGGCTCCTCACGTGAACTGTCTGCATCTTCATCATTGTCACTAGAGCTCTCATCATTACTCTCATCATTGCTGTCATCACCATTATCATCATCATCGTCATCATTTCCTTCTGAGGATTCTGCCTCCCCTTCTGCTGCTGCTTCTTCCTCCTCCTCTTCTTCAGCGTTTTCGGCTTCGGATGCTGCTTCTTTGGATTCACTGGACTCCTTGGATCCCTTATCACTTTCTTCCTCCCCACTGTCACTGTTGTGACCCTCTGGAAATAACATGCTGTTGTTAGACTGGAATATGTTTGTTTGTTTGTTGTTTAACGCTGCACTCAGCAATATTCCAGCTATATGACGACGGTCTGTAAAATAATCGAGTCTGGACCAGACAATCCAGTGATTGATATCATGAGCATCGATCGACGCAATTGGGATCGATGACATGTATCAACCAAGTCAGCAAGCCTGACCACCCGATCCTGTTAGTCGCCTTTTACAACAAGCATAGTCGCCTTTTAAGGCAAATGTAGGTTGCTGAAGACCTATTCTACCCCGGAATCTTCACAGGTCAGACTGGAAAATGACCCTGATGACACAACATTGATATCTTGGTCAAGGCTGTTTATCTGGGTATATATATGACAAGACATGTTAGCAGCACTCCCAACCAGATTAATGTCTAACCATTATTCCCCAGGCAACTTAAACTATCACATAAACTATCACATATAAAACTACAGTCAAGTCTCGTTAATCCGACATCGTTGGTTGCACATGATTGTGTCGGATTAACGAGTATGTCAGATTAACGAAATTAAGTGATTTGTGATTGAAAATCGGACGTCTTCACGATAGATAATAACGGTGTGTACCTTGTAATGAAATCATTAAAAACGAAATATTAATATTGTTATGTTGTTTATTCATTCATTCCTTAATCTATAATTAATGACTGTGCAAAAATAATAATAATAGTAGCACGGGATGGGGTGTTGTCCAGCAGCAATACCACGTGGCGTTGCTCCAATTGCATTTGCCGATCCAAGATCAGTAGCCAGGCTTTGAATATTAATGAAGTCATCCATGCTTTCTTGTTTACATACCAGTCGACCATGGTGAGTCGACCATGTTTTATATACCTGTTCGTATTCGGCTTCATGCACATTTATCTGGCTTCAATTTGTAAACTACATTTGTATAGCTTTGTACATACAGGTTTGAATAGCTTTTCCTTTTAATCTCTGCAGCCAGTGCGTGTCAAAACACGGGGTTGTGCACTCGCGGTCAGATGACCACGGAGTACGCTGATCACTGTGTCGGATTAACGAGACTGATTAATTAGTGATTTCGGCAATTCGTTGCAAATTAGGTGTGTCGGAGTCCGAGTGCGAGAATGTCGGATTAACGGGACTAAATAGCACTGAATCAATCGGTTCCCATCATTTGTGTCGGATAAAGCCGAGTGTCGGATTAACGAGACTTGACTGTACTTACCAGTTATATATGGCAACATCGAATGCGATCACTCACTTGAATGGAGTCTCGCTCTCGCGAGATCTCGTTATGTTAATGAACTAACCTTTAACATTCAACTGTGTTATTACTACAGTTGACTGATGATACTTCATCATGACTGCATTGAAACACAGTACTCACCTGTTATTACAACTTACAAACCATTAAAATTAATTTGTTATGTTTAACAGTTCACATTACTGGTAGGAATTGTACATCATAAATCAGGCAATCTTTGATCATTTTGAGAAAATATGACAATTTCTACTACATGTTCACATATACTTTCCATTGGTATTTTATTTCCCACCAAATAACATGAACGCTCTGTAGCTAAACTGAATAGTTTGTAAATGATTGACAAGATGTCATGGGACAATGGTTATGAAAGGGTCAAATACAAATCTGGCATATATGTTCACCTTCATACACACTGATATTGAATAGATACGTGTACACTGTATGCACAACAAATTACACATACCACATGTTTACCACGTGTCAACTCAAACAGTGCAAAAATTCACACAAACTTTTACGCTCAATTCAACCAAATAGACACCTCACATGTATGCTTCATTTGGTAATATTTACATTATAAAGTGTCCAGTTATTGACACTATTTTCAAGGTTACTTGAAGTGTAATGACATTGACCTTCAATGTAAGCCAATCATATGTATGAAAAATCCACCTTGGTTGTAGAGACCACCTTCAAGTACGCAGTATCTGGCATGTAAAACAAACACGCATTTATAAAAAATCTGCAGTATACCCTAGTGTTATATGAGCTATTACAACTGATCTTTCTGGACCGAAAAGAATTTTGCCATACTCAGACTTCAGTTTAGTTGCTTAAGTGCATCCATGCAAATCCATGAACAAACAAAATATATCATCTACAACGGCAAGAATATAAAACTTGCAACAACTCATCACATGGTCATAATCTTTTAAAAAAGTTTCTACTCTCTGCCTTCTGGTTTTTTGAGGAAATTCCCAAACATATTCCCTCCGATTTATTGAGTACATGTAGTTCAAACTGAGTGCCCATGGTAGACAAATTGGGAAACAATCATTGTTTTGTTGAAAACGGGAATCTTTCTTAAAAAATTTATTTCCCAAATTCAGAGGTATGTTAACAATGCATTCAATACACTAATGTATTATATCGTCTTCTACTTTATTGTCCTGCTATCAGTGAAATACTAGTGTTCAACGTTAGTTCATAAATATTGAGATCTCGCAAGAGTGAGACTCCATTGCATTCGATGTCACCACATAACTGGTAAGTAATGTTCTATGTGATAGTATATGTGACGTAAGGGAGGTAGGTTGCTGGGCAGGATGACGGTTAGATGTTGGTCTGGTTGAGAGTGCTGCTGTGGGTGCGCGTACATGTCTTGTTATCAAATATATAACCAGTTGGTCTTTGTAGCTTGTGAAAACTCATAATGATAAACTTGTATCTCACAGGATGCATGGGATTTTATGAGCTGAATGTTGGAGCTAATGTAACTGCTTTCTATTCCCATTAGAAATGTAAATCCTAACCTTTATGGGCGTTTAATTCAAAATCACTGTCTTCTTCACTATCATCAAGACCACCAAAATCTACTTGTATCAGATGTTTTTGAACAGGCTTTACTCGTCTCTTCTTTGGATCTCGGGAAACTGAAAAACAAGACAAGACATTTAACGAACTTGTATAAATCACAATTCATAGTACATAGATCACTGCAGAAGAGCATAATAATGTAAATGATCGTACTGGTTTCATATCTTTCTACCAATTATTAAATATAAAAGTTGCGTTAAATCATACTGGGATGTATGTAAATATAAGGGGTGCCTGAAAAGTTCTGAGCCCAACTACAAAGGATGTATTGCACACTCTTAACGGTATGCATGTATGAAGCACAATACATTCCATGTTTACAGGCTGCCTGCATACAACCAGGGAGCATATCTCTACAGACATCCAAAATGACTAGTACTCTCTGCTGATGAAAACGGCCAAAATTGGCTACCACGAAGTATCTCCAGCAGAAAGGGCTAACTACAACAGCCATTCATGTGGAGATTGTGTCAACTTTAGGGGATGATGCTCCTTCCTTTGCCACTCTAAAGGTGAGCAGCAGAATTCAAGAGGGGAAGAAAAAGCCTCAAAGTCAAAGATTTTGAATATCAGTAAGACCTTCAACTGCTACCAAGAGGAAAGTGTTGTTGAAATACATGATATGATTATGGATGTCGATGATTCACAACATCTTACATAGCCAATATAGTTGGTATCTCACATGGGAGAGATAAGAACATTCTGAGGAGGGAACTGGGCATTACAAAGATTTCAGCATGCATGGTTCCTAGGTTTCCGATCAGAAACACTTCAGGTTCATCATCTCTTTCATCATTTTGAAGCAGACCCAGCTGATTGTGTTAAGCGATTTGTAACCATGGATGAGTCTTAGGTTCATCGCCATCAGCCAGAGTGGAAACATCTTACGTCTCATCCTTCGAAGAAGACAAAGTCTGTTCCATCATATAACGTTATAATGCCAATATTATGTTGATCTGCTTAGGCAACTGTGTGAGAATATCAAGGCTAAACATTGTGGAAAAATCAATAATAGTGTTTTGTTCCACAAGGACAGATGTTTGTTGTCACCATTTCAGCAATACATGACTGTGGCTCTGAACTCACTGACCATACTCCATATTCACCAGACCTGTGAAAATCCAGGTATAGACAATATGTCTTCAGCAACCCATGCTTGCTGTAAGAGGCGACCATGCTTGTCTTAAGAGGTGACTGATGTGATCGAATGGTCAGGCTCGCTGACCATTTGTGTAGATTGATGCTCATGATGTCAGTCAAGTGTGTTGACCTCAGATGGGATTATTTTGAAAAATACTTAGCCACCAACTCCATCAATGCAGTCCATAGTTAGTCTTAGAACTTTTAGAAGCCACTCTCGTATATGTCCAACAAGGCCTGTAACACTGTGGTTAATTGTGACCAACTCTTTCATTCTGAACCAAAAAATCATTAAACTAAAAGTATGCCACAATGAGAAAAGAGTGTAAAACTGGTTGACAAATATTCTCATCTGATCAACTATACTCATGCCAGTGATGTGTGAACTGAAGGATGGATGGGTTCCTGAGGCAATTACATGTCATCTCTCGGATTCAAGTTCTAAACCACTTTCAGAAATATTGGTATGAACTAAAAAAAAAACCTTGTCAGATAATTTCCACAAAATAGTGTAGACTTTATTTTTGTCCATTCGAAACTGGACTATTGTGTTTACATTCGTTTAAAAAAATACAGAAATCGGTTATGCTGATCCACGGACGTATATACGTCTTTGGCTGATCCCAATGAACATGGAGAACATGGCTGATTAGAAAGTTCATCTGACGTGACCTACATTGGAGCGTTGATAGTCTTACCGGAGGGTTGTCAGATCTTGACAGATCTTGAGCATGTTGAGATAGGTATTGAATCGGAGAAAACTACTCTACCGCACTTAGCAATATTCCAACTAGATATTATTAATAGAGACTGGGCCAGTCAGACCATAATAGCACGAGAGGTATCGATATCGACGGAGTGTTGCGCCACATAAATAACTACATCGCAAATCGTAACCACTAGATCGGCATCCTCATTTCGCTTGGCTCTCACGACAAACATGGGAATTTGGAGACCGTATCTGCAGACATTATGTGACCAAACTCAATGCAATATCACATACACATAGTCTTGTATAAAAAGCTGACACTTGGATCAACACCGTCAATGCCGAGATCATCATCCATCTTTTCAATATTATTAACTGAAATAGTTTAGATGCAGAAAATCAATTGCTGTAATAAATGCCAAATGACAACAACGCGCCGAAAATCGGAAGTGGTTTTCCTGATCAGCGACACCTAGCGGATTTGATGGTTCTCTGTTTAATATGCGAGAACTATTTTTGCGATGTACAAACTCTCTATAATACAGAACCCAGTTGCTCGTGTTAACTAGTCCTGCTTTATGACTACGCTGCTACTCAAAGCTTATTTGAATATTGTTAGGGAGCCCAGTGTCAAAACCTGTCTAGTTTTTTTTTAAAAATAAACAAGAGATAATTTTAAGAAACTTTAAGAAATATGTATATAAGATCTTTGGTTGTTATGTTAGAAAAAAACAACGTTCATTTGTCTATCGATATGCGGAGACGTTTGACTGGGGTTCTGTCTACCTAAACAAGTAATCTAAAGGCGCTAAGCTTGTGGTGCGCACCAGCAGTGGAACCGGTTTAAGCGGAGGTCAGTGTTACAAAACAACTGGTTACATTGTTCGCTCGCGCAGCGCCCATAGCTGTTTTACATTACTAGTTTAGATCGACAGAAACCCAGTCAAGGCTATTACACTAAGGGAGCATATTTTCTTAACAACTAATGTATATGGCATTTCCAAGACCAACAATGAATGTTCTAAGAACTCACCGTCCACCAAACAGGTATTATTTAATATTTTGAAGAAGGTTTCCTTGTCGGAAATTGTCACACCTGTGTTATGGAGGTTGGAATGATGATTGTAATGCCAAACACACAAATTGGGTAATCTCCAAGGAAATTAATGATAAATAAGGCATGAGGAAGAGAATTTATGGATTTCTTTATTATGAGGAACACAACGTTTCGGAGTATATACTTACTCCTCCATCAGATGAATTAATGCTACGAAGCAGAGAACATAAACATGTAATAAGTGAACAAACATGGAAACTTAACAAGGGAAGCTGATAGGTGATTGGCAATGCACAAGAGGAAGCCAACAACAGTTAATTAGCGTTTATATGCGAGAGCAATGGACAAATGGAGACCAGGACTTAAATTATCACTGATTCGTAATAGGCAATTGGCAAACAGGAGGCAGGGGGTACATTGCCACTGATGGGTAATAGCAAGGGACAAATGGAAGCCGACTGGATAATTAGTACAGACAATAATCAAATCATAAGTCCCAAGCACTGGGTAGATAAGTTTCCTGGTCAAATGCCATTCAAATTAGCCCCTGAGTCAGCTACTATCACAATGCTCGGTGGTACATGGGCCGATATTGTAAACTGTGATGAAGATGAAAACTGAAGAGTGAGTGAGTGAGTGTGTATGGTTTTACGCCGCTTTTAGCAATATTCCTGCAATATCACGGCGGGGGACACCAGAAATGGGCTTCACACATTGTACCCATGTCGGGAATCGAACCCGGGTCTTCGGCGTGACGAGCGAACGCTTTAACCACTAGGCTACCCGACCGCCCCTAAAACTGAAGAACTGTATATATGTGAATGTATGTAGTTATCTGTGAACAACTGGAAAACAGGAAATAATATGTAAATACATCAAATAATATGTAACAAATAACATAAATCAGATATACTACCACATAAATCGTTCATATCGTTATTAGCAATAGAGGTGACGTTTTCGCCCGTCACATAGTAGCCGTTTTCGCCAATTGCGGTGCCGTTTTCGCCAGAGAAATCGGGGCCGTTTTGCTGAGGTGCCGTTTTAGCCTGCACCCCTGACACCTAGCCACTGAAAAATATATACTCTCGATAGAAACAAAAAAACCTCCATTTAAATTGAAAATGGGCCGCAATAACATAGGAGATTCAGAACCTGTGGAAAATTCCGACGTGCTACATAATACATATAGATCTATATCATTACAGCAAGGGCTTGAAGGGTAGGACAAATACTGTTCAGGGACTGGGAGAGAGATTATCACTAGTGATGCAAGCAGGCGAATACAATAATATTCAACATGTGTTTTTACTTTGTATTTTGTGATTCAGCTGACGAAAAGAGACATCGATTACATTTCTTTTCTTTAAAATAAGGGGCGGTGGGGTAGCCTAGTAGTTAAAGTGTCGGTTCGTCACGCCGAAGACCCGGGTTCGATTCCCCACATGGATACAATGTGTGAAGCCCATTTTCAGCTACTGCACAGTGACATACTGGACATCTTCTTATGCCGTGCTAACCGGGGCGTGTACAACATGATGACCAGATCGTCAACTCTCTGAGAGATTCTGAATGTGGTGATAAAACAAATCGCCTTCAAGCAGAAGAAAGTTCCAACACATTGTGTTTGTATGAATAGCGTATTAAAAAATCAGATTTTATAGTTCAAAAGTTTTATTACCATATGGCAGGGGTGCCATACTATTCAGATCCTCCAATAATGTTTTGCTTTATTTCTTTGCTGCAATAACCGCTCATCGACGGACGCCCATTTCATTGTCCATCCACATGGCATGAGTTGCGACCATAGTAGCATACACTGACATCCGCCATCTTTCAGTCTGCTCGAAGGGTCAAAGCTGAGGCGGCATTAACCATGAAGGGGTTGACAATGTCCAGTTTGAAGGCGCATCCATCGGTGAGAAACATTTTTGGGGATTCGTCTGTCTTAGAAATCATTTATTCGTAATATTTGCTCTTGTTGTATGCCTCCCCGCGCATATTTTGTCTATTATCTACATGCCCTTGAAATCGTGTACTGAGATCCCTTGTGGTCGTTAATTCTGTAAAATGGAACGATAATATTCGATAATTCATTCTAATATGAAAAAGAGAAACTCTACAAATAGTTGTTGTTTAATGACGCATTTAGAAATATTACAGCTACATGATAACGGTCCTTTAGTAATCGAATCTGGACCAGACAATCAAGTGATTGACATATTGACATCAATCTACTAGAAGTCAGCGAATCTAACCACCCGATCCCGTCAGTCTCCCCATAGTATAAGCATGGGTTGCAAGCTAAATACCAATTCTAAACAATATCTTCAATATATAAATGAAATGGAGAATGTTGATATTCATTCATAGTAGGTCATTTAGGCCTAGGCATGGTTTTTTGGAGCACCTTTAGAATACAGTACCACAACTTCTCGTGGGGACGATCTCTACCGTAGGTCACATGTCTCAAAGACAAGCAACCAGCTTTTGTGAGAATCCATCGGACGCGAACTCGCGACCTAGCCCGATAGCTAACCGACTGAGCTACGTCCACACTGTGAAACAAAGTGCAAATTTACCTAGTCATGCCTACGATGTTACAGAACTGAACGAAAAGGGTGGAATAGGTGACGGACACTTACGAAGGTTACGGGTAGGCATGGTGTCTCGTGACTTTAGTCTATGGACACTTACGAATGATCCCGATGCCATTTGGCAACTCGTCCCATTCCATAATCTACAAGATACCGAGTTGTGAGGAATGAGCCGATATGGCGCGAACTGAAACCGGCTCTAGGCGTGAATGACATGCTATTTAATAATTCGTCAGGTTGATTTTGTGACAGAAAAGTGTGGTAGGGAACTCGATGACCCCTGACGTCACAGGGCATTGTTTCGCCGGTGTGACTGGCAACAAAATACCACAAATTACGTCATAGGGTATTGTCACGTGTTTGAAAAGTTTGTGGTACTGTATTCTAAAGGTAGGCCAGGGTTTTTTTTATGATATTTGTAAAATATTTGGAAATAGATGGTTAAATGTCAAGATATTTTTCATGTGTATCCTCGAGTTATTTGTTTTTGAACGCTGCCCAATCTCTGGTTATTGTATGAATGAATGCACATAAATTTATGATGCCACAGGGTCTGTGACTTTCTCCACTAATCACCTTTATTCCATGTCTTGTAATTTTTTATGATCTATTACTAGAAGCATTATCTTGTACTCGTCCATATACAATATTTCCTGAAGATCATGCCATACCATACCAAACTATACAAGTTCGGACTAGTAGACTATATAAAGTGTTTGGCACAGACTGTGTCAAATATATGGTTTTATGAGCAACTTTGCTTGAGTGCTAATAATGTGAACGAAAAGACAAACATAAACGTTCGATAGGTTATTGCGTTCACAACTGATATTAAATTATTGATGTTAATGATGTTGATAACATTTTCTGTGTTAATTTACAGTTGATCCCCCTGTTTGTTGCCACCGCTGTTGGAGCTGCTGGTGCATTCTATTACACCATGAGACTGGCCACCAGAAACCCAGATGTATGGTAAGAAATATTTTCTCTGTACTGTTGATACATCAGATGGAAAACAAAACAAATATTGATGAAATATTCAGAGGTTGCAACATATGAAGTGTATCATTAAGTCATGGAGAAATCATGAAAATCTGTTGATTCCACTACAGAATCAACAGGTTCGAGTGATTTCTCTCACTTAAATAAACTGTTATGGTTGGTGTATAAATTCCGTATCAGACACCTATCCGCAATGTTTGTTTGATGCAACTATTAAAGCGACACACAGTAGCATCTATTTGAAAAAGAGGGAGATAAAGCTCAAAATAAGCAGGAAAAATTACCCCACTTGCTTTTGTATGGTTTAATATGATTAAACCTTGTAATTGAATATCAAAACAATACATTTAATGTAAATAATTGGCCATCAACACAAAAAAAGTACTGAAAAATAGAAGTTCCATAATGGCGTGTGAGAACCTCATTAGTGACAACCGTTGGGAGTCACATTTCAGCTAACACATTGTATTTGGTATCTACTTTTGTAATTAAACATTACATTTACTTATGAAAGCATTTATTTCAAAACATTGATTTGAAGGCAAGCCCCCCAAACACCCTGTTATTTTCGTGAGGCAACAAAAATGGCACCTTAAAAACTTAGATCCCGTTACTAAGTTAATAAGCACGTCCACACCCTTACCAAAATGGCGGAAGGTGTCCGGTATGCTGCATTCTTTCCATATATTCTGTATCATTTTGCATAATGACCTTAATTGCATCAATTTTACTTGTTAAAATGAATATTCAGAGTCTCCAGTGAATTCCTGGCTCAACTGCCACAACAATAGCGTGACATCAAGGGTTTAAGCAATGTTAGTACAGGCTTCCAGCAAGGATGAGTTAGTCTCGTTCGTATGATGTCTCAGTATTCCATATTGAGAATATGATTACAAAAAGACAGCTGAGCTGGAAATGAATGCAGTTTTCAAAATCTTATATCTTGGGACCCCTTTTTTCATCTGTGTTTATTGTCTGAGAAATGCTTATCCCCAGTTTTGAGGAATGGCTGAAAGATTTTCTTAGTACCAGTTATGTGTAAGCGTGTTTGTATATTATAGGATGTATATCATAGGATCATCTATTATTAAAAGGATTTTGCACCAGTCCTATTGTCCTTGCACCAGTCCTATTGTCCTTGCCAAACTGCCCAATAGTTAAGTTATCATAAGGACCAGTAGAAATTTGCCATTATTTAATCATTAAGGGCTTCAAACGCTGTAGCCAATATGTATAGGAAAGAATATAATCCACAAGCGAAGTACCACCAGCCGAATACGCAAAGTGTACAAGTTGCCAGATGTGTATTGACATTGAATGATACTCACATTTTGACATTGTTGTAACTGAATACTGTCAAACCTGTCTTCCTTGATACTGCTCAGGTATTAACATTATCCTTTTTGTGTTAAGCTGGGACAGGAAGAACAACCCCCAACCCTGGCAGCGATATGAAGGCAAGCAGTACAAGGTAAGCGAAGTCAACAAAGTCTCAAATAGTATCTCAGTAATGTCCAACCTCAACTTAGTGCATGTTATATTGTTTTTTTAATTAACCTTTTATTTTAGTTTTTGCACTGTAGAAAAGCAAATTTATTGAAAAGCCTGAACAAAAATCCAAATAACAGTTTGATATTACATTCTGTGTGTGATATGTCTTGTTTCATTGAATCACTGCATTTTCTTTCAGTTTTACTCCCCAATAAGAGACTACAGCAAGGAGACCTACCCAAAAGAAAGACCAAGTCTTGACTAGTATAATTGCCTGAATGTGTTTTGTGTGTTTGTATAAAAGAATAGCATCATTTGGTCAGCTCCGTAATTCTACAGAAATCTCATTATTGAACGCAAATTGCTTTCTCTAGTTGTAATCTCAGAAATGATAAATCTCAGATACATTATTTGTTTGAAACTGTTGCAATTTCATTGTCTGGATGGAGCGAAAGCTTCTTCAGATGATGGAGTCACTGAGACTCGTCCAACGCACAAATTGGATATCTCCACAAACACTATTAAGTTATTCATGGTTTAAAGGCGGAGTTTCGAATTCGAAGACTTGTACATATTGTTCATGTACAACATGAGCTAGAAAATAAAATATTTGAAAAAAGTTTTTAGTTTTACTTTATTCAGGGTGCAGGAGTCCGAACAGGACAAGATGAAACAAGAGGATGAAATCACATATATTTCCCCCACCCTTTTAAATGTTTGTTAATTAATACAGCACTCTATTCAAGCTACATTAAGGCAGCCCCAAAAACCTTAACGCTATCATGTCTGGACCAGACAATCCAGTATGATGAGCAATGTCACAAGCAACCACAAGGTGACCAAGCATGACTGCCCATGGGTCAGCCACACCATGTGGGGAAACCCTCCCAGAGTTAGAAATTAACACTAGCCAGGGGCTATTACATATTCCTGCAGGCTAGTACAAATTTCCAAATGTCCCCATTGTTTTAACTTTACAAGGGCATTTTATCTTTACCTGGGCAAGTAAAGCGTTTCAGTTTCATTCTGTTACTGTCTCCATGTAGGTTTCAGACATTGCATCTTCAGGTCATCCTTTGTGTCACTGCTGTCTGCTTTAATTCAGCAGCCCATGTCTTAAAAGTTAAACATGAAGGGAAGTCATCCCAAAGCAACATTTTTGATATCTTCATTAATTTCCTTTGGTGACGAACCCAGTTTATGCAGGTACTTCATAACTTCTCTGGACCTGTGAAGATACGGGTTAGAATAGGTCTTCAGCAACCCATGCTTGTCATAAGAGGTGACTAAAGGGGTCAGGCTCGCTGACTTGGTTGATGTATGTCATCGTATCCAAATTGCGTGGATCGATGCGCATGATGTCGATCACTGGATTGTCTGGTTCAGACCCCATTATTTACAGACCAGTGTCATAGCTGGACTATTGCTGAGAGCAGCGTTAAAAACAAACTGATTTCTCGAAAACAGATGCAGATTAGTTTGCAACGTGGTGATATGTATTGGAAGAGATGACATTCTCCATACACACACACACACACACACACACACACACAAAGCTGACATGCCGTGACATAATGGTATACTGCTCAAAGTCAAATTAAACCAAACTCACTCTCACACCTACAGTTACCCAAACTGGTTTAGTGGATAGAGCGTCTTATACAAATACAACAGTCCGGTTGCATGACATCGTGTCCCAATTGTGTGGATCGATGCTCATTATGTCAGTCACTGGATTGTCTGGTCCAGACTCAATTATTTACAGACCGCCGTCATATAGCTGGAATATTGCTGAGTGTGGCGTTAAACAACGAAAGAACGAACAAACAAAGCACACGTACATGTTGCTATAAAAGAGCATTAATCTTGAAACCCTTTTTTCACCTCACATCACATTACAGAAGCAATATTTTCAGACTACAAACTTTTAGATTTACCCTCGCCAGCAGCCAGATCACAAAGTCCCCTCATTGTAGGCAGCTCATGACGACCTCTGCGGGATGTTGGGCGCGGCAAGGAATCCCAGGTCAATTTTTCCTATTATTTAGCTGTTTTTGCATGTATCATTATGAAATAAGCTTTTTGCCATTATTTGCTTTTTGATCCAACTACAACCTTTGACTTTCACATAACCCCGTTTCTTGTGTTGCTGCATCATCTGCCGTAATACTACACTGTCTATGAAAGTAAAACTAAGATATGGTGTCTCTTACATTTGCTCACAGATTTCAGATCTGAAATTAAAACATATGTCACTACATACATTTAGAAACCCATTAATGACCAGCGTTTTTGCAAACTGTATAGACATTTGGTGTATGTGGAGTTACTAGTGGGGCCTAACATATATGTAACGTCATTTGCGATAGACGTGTTTAATTTTGATCTTGATTCGACCTTTGCTGCTTTACAGCGTAATAGTTTGTGTCACCACAGTGAAAATGCTGTCAGGGGCAATGCAAATGAAAGTAGGTGCATACTAAAAATGCCATCCATTAGGCCCCACCGAGCACAAGACTGTCATATTTCATCGAATCATGTGCATAGTGTATGGGGAGCTATGGCGAAAAGTTGGTTTTAACGCAGTTGCCATTGAAACCAAACGACTTCTACCAGAAATGGTTCGAGCAATAGGAGAGGCTGTCGTTTGATGTTCCAGGCAAAGTTTAACCTTTCTACACCTTGTACAAGAGGAGAAACAAATTCAGGTCAAAGCTGTGCAGCAACGGCGGGCCAATGTGACAAGTGTGCCAAAACACAAAAAAGACGGATTTCTTTAAAGGTGCATGTCCTTCAGACCCCCAGTAACCCTGACTTTGCACTTTTACAATGATCTTAAATATCTTCTATTGATACGAATTTCTGATGAAGCTGACATTTCGCATCCATGATTCTACTTCTTAACAAAATATATTTTGTTCAAATCATTGTGAACTGTTGTACCATATAGTAGTTAGAAAATCAATTTTTACATAATTTTGTTAAAATGGTAAGAAACGGGCAATTGTGCGTGAATGATACTGCTATTTGAAGATATAAGTTTGTTCAAGGCATCTCGCTGTCATAAACAATGTTGCGAAAACACGGGGTGTTCCTTGAATCTATGGCGTCGATTTTTATTTCCAAACATACACCATAAGATCACAACAATCAAGTCAACAAACCTACAACCGCCATGCATCAGCTGTACTGGATGCTCCGACTGAGATAGTCGACAGTAACGACCGAGTCCATCACGTTCAGGACTTGTTTCATTGAATGTCCTCTATCCCAATCGCGTGGATCGATTCTTATGATGTTAATCACTGGATTGTTTGGTCCAGACTTATAGCTGGATTATTGCCGAGTATGGCGTTAAACAATAGAATGAATGAGTGCGCGAAGAAGCGCACGTAAAATGTCCAAGGTATGCACAGACTCCGGGTCAATGAACATTACTGCTTTCAAGTGGATCAGTAAAACATTATTAATATAAAACTTGTTTCGGACGTTATTCCTTCCAACAGTTTATCCAGTATATATGTGGTCTAACTTCATGAAGTTAATTAAAAACTATGAACACTCAATGCCATTTAGAAAGTGGTCAAATGTGACAAATGTTATATTTGGGAGAACACTTTCTGAGCAAAGTACAGATTCTCGTAATTAAGAACTGACTTATTTATTTTTTGCGTTTATGGAGGTATATACATAATAACCGATGTGCACACTGTGAAAATTTGCGTAAAAATAAAAATACAACAATAATAACTTAATATACTACTAATTCAATCATTAACTCAAAAACCTGCAAACAACAATTTGAAATCAGTGGCATGGTTCAGCGCAATAATGCAACTCTATTCACAGCAAATCAGGAAACGGTATTCCGGTAGTGGGTGCGCCTAATTATTTAACCTTTGCGCGGTCAATGGTCTACCAATGACATGCCATTCATTTATTTGTCTATAAATGTTAGAAAAAATCTTTGATATAACATTACTGGTCGGGAAAATGTCTCCCACGCTCAAAACATTATTAGTGTAGAGCACGAAACTTTTGTGTGGATGTAATAGTATTGTCAATATAAAGTACAGAAGAAAGGGTCTGTCTACACAACATCTGCAGGAGTCGACAATGTGTATTGCTTGCTGCAATGACTTATACAGGACACCATGTCTCCATTCTATAACAACAATAATATTCTGAATCCATTCGCCACCACAACTTCGTCAGTGAAGTGACGTCTCTAATTCCATGTCTGAGGGTACGCCCACCCCCACCCCCGTGGGCGTAACGTCTTATTTTTCACCCTGAGTGTTGCTCACCCCTGAATCCCGAATACTACACTTAACATAAATCTCAAAGGCACATGACAGAATTCGTTCTACAGGGCAGAATGTCGATCACAGTCGAAAATCTATAGAACACGTTCCTAGATCAGAAAATAAGCTTAATTAAATAAGCTTAACTTAATTACCGAAATAAAAAAAAATAACGTATTTAAGGACATTTTTAGGTACATCATTATTTATTTTTTTATAAATGTTGAATCTTACGTCCCGCGTACCACACGGCTGACTCCCTAATACTCTTTAAAAGACCCTCGAATCCCGCTTGGCAATAACTGCTCAAATCTTTCTCATACATCGGGTGATATTTGATCTTTTAACTTTGTCATTCGAATCGGGCTCAAAAGGAAGCTGTGACAGGATCAGAATGGATACATAATCAATAATCGAGGGCGGGTTAACATTGGACTAATTAACTACATTATTAATGTGACAGTGGTCTGCAACTTGATGCGGCGTCAGAGTTATCTACCTTATAATAACGACGAATGATTGGTCAGCGACGTCACCATTGACTACACATCAGTTGGGAGAGGGTTCACGTACCGGGAAGTTCGAAGCTTGCGAATTTTACTGCGACAGTTACCTGTTACACTGATGTTTATGTGAGCCATGCACTGCAAGAGAGTGAGTTTAAGTAGCCAGGCGTAAAGACGAGTAAATGTTGCTAAATAATTCACACATGCCTAACACAAATTGGCGATATGTATATTGTGTTATCCCCGTGTGGCAAATGATGGAAAACAAAATGCTGAACCGTAACTTAGTCCGTTTGAACGTACATGTATGTATTTCTGTCTTGCTGGGAGACATAGGCATAGTATGACTATGCACACTTACATTATACCGGGTACCTTTCTACCATATTTATTTGCTGCTTTTGATAATGGCTAATTGAAAAAAAGAGGAATAAAGCTCAAATTACGCAGAACAAATACCCGCCTTATTGTATGACTTGTTATGATTATATGCACCAGGGACACATTTCATTAAACAGGTAAGGAAGTATACCGGACACCTTTTGGTAAAGGATGTGCACGAGCTCATTCCCTAGTAACGGTTTCTAAGTTTTTCCTACGCCAATTTTGTCTCCTCGCTAAAATAACAAGAGGCTGGGGAGCTTGAAATGTATAATTTCCAAAGTAGATACAAAATACGTGTTCGCTGAAATGTGACTCGGATATCACTGATGAGGTAGTCGCACGCCATTATGGAACTTCTGTTTTCGAGTAGATATTTTTTCGATGTTTATGCTTCGCTTTCTTATTCAATTTCAAGGTTTAATCATATCAATGGCAAGAATGCAGTATACCTGACAACTTCCGCCATTTCGGTAAGGGATGTGGTCGTGGGATACAGCTAAGGTCTCACCAAAATCGGAATACATTGCTCTTACCCATGTATCATCGAAATGAAAACTTCATTGTATAAAAGTGTATGACATTTCCCTTGAGCAGGTGAAGGCGTGTGCAGGAGACAAGGGGTGGAAGGAGACAAGCCCAACCGGTTTGGCCTTGACCACCTGGGTGGACTCCTATGTCAATGTTATTCTCAAGGCCATGTTGGATCAACTCCAGGCGACTGAACAATACACAGCCCCGAGAACACAGCCAGGTACCCCTGCACCCGATGACGATCGTGTGAGAAGGTTTGTTGGCTGGATCGTTTCCCGTGCTGAAGCTGCCATTCTTGCCCAGGAAGAGGAGTTTGTCAGTGATCTTGTGGCCCGATCGTTGGAAGAGGCTGTCAAAGAGATCAAAGAATACGAGGATCGGGATTATGAGGAGGGCAGACTGGATGTTTTTGTCACCACAGTTGCTTCCCAAGTCATTGAGGAACTTGTACAGGAAAATGTTGCCATCAACTACAGGAATAATAATCTTGCAGCTGAAACTATTGTCTGCAAGATGAGTCAGCAAACTACACACGAAACACCTACTGTCTATAATCAAGACGAGCAGAGGCTAGACAAGTTTGCTGCTGATTTTGTTTCAGGTGTCATTGAGAAAATTGTGAAGGAACACCAAGTCAAAGATGGTTCCTCCGCCAAGTGTCTGAACGACGGGAACATGCTGAATGCGTTCGCCACTGAAATTGTTTCAGATGTTCTCGACCAAGCTAAACAAGGAAATGGGATTACACAGGCTACAGTCACTGCATATCAGCAGGATAGGTTGGACGTTTTTGCTGCTGAATTTGTGTTGAATGTCCTCAACAAAATTGTTCAAGAGGAACACTCCAACCACTCCAACCCCATACAAACTACAGAGAAGCCAGTAACACAAAGGTCTTTCAAAAACAGGAATGCGTGTGTCTCTGCAGCCTTTCAGAGGATCAAACATCCCAGTACCAGCAAACCTGTTGATGCTGACTTCCGTTACGTTTACCAACGTCTGACGCATACATTTGGGGAAGGGGTAGATGACTCTGTCATCAGCTTTGTTTTGGATGCCATACCTCAGCATGGCACTTGGTCGCAGAATTTTGAGGCTGTAGACAAAAGTATAAGAAGTGTAGAAAATCACAAGAAGGTAACATACGACCGTGTTAATTAAGTTTTCCGATTTCGCTTTATAAACTATAGTTGTTATTCCAAAATTGACGACAGAGCAGTACTTGAAATATGTGTTTTAAGTTTAACCAAAATGTTATCGTTAACTTTGGCAGTACGAATTGAAGGTTTCCGTGACACAGACATGTTGTTCAGGTATAAGTTCATGTTACGATGAGACTCTATGACATGTCCATTTTCTTTTCAGAAACATCCGACTCTTCACAGAGGAAAAGCAATGACCGCATTGATACCAGGAGAACAGGTGAATCGTCCCTCTGCGAAACCTCCCGTCATAAGATGTTTCCTGGATATATTTCAATGTAAGTTTGGAAACAGAAATTTTGAAACGTACTTTATCTTTAAACGGCACCCGAATATGCCACAATTACTTTTGTTTGTATCTTAACAATAAGAGATTAACATTCTTCATGTTCTCACCACTCTCATGATCTGGACACATAAACGCAACCATTTGCTTACCTTGAAATACATAGTCGGTGTGTTACTGCTTCCAGTGACGAAGAGCGGGCATGTGACCACCAAGCAGGAGGACGACATCCAGATGTCAACCCGGGTCGTAACACAAAAACAAAAAACGGAAAGTAACAAACATTCCACCCCAAGTCGCACGAGACGCTTCCTGGAGAGTATGCGCAATTCCTTGTTCCGTTTAGGCATTTCAAGCCCGTTGTCCCGTCGGGGACAAAAACGTAGATTTGTATAGCTACTTCTGTTTGTGCATCTCAACACGACACCGATATGTTCCGTTAACTTTGTAAAATATTTAGCTTTTTATACGTCTGAATTTTCAAACATTTTGAGATTCAAAACCAACAACCAGATCCCTAACTGTATATTTTTGGAAAATTGTAGTTTATTATATCGGTTGTGATGGAAACTTTTGTACGTTACAATATATGTGGGATTTTTTACATGTTGTTTGTTATTTGTGTTACCACTGCGAATAACGCCATGATGGCTTATGCTATGAGTGGGTGAGGTATTCGCGGCTGCCTTGTTACCAAAATGCCAAACTCAGTGGGAGTTGTGGGTCATATCGGTTCCCCGCACTCTGTGCTCGTGAGAGATGATAAGACAATGAGGAAAGGGTGGATATAATGTGCGACCTGGCTGATAGTACTACCAGGACACAGTGGATTGTTGCTGTGCCATAAACCACTGGTTTGCCACAGTACTCAACCCAGAATATTTACAAGCAGCGTGGTAAAGCTGGAATATCGCTGACTGGCCTAAAACAATATCCACTGCGATTTTACGAGGGCATCAAGAACGCAGGTGCGACCAGGAATACACCGAGGGGATCCGGGTTGTAAAGGCCGGGAAAACGTGTGCAAGGCAGTGAGATATTGCTGTATTTGTATAACAGTAAGTGAGTGAGTATGGTTTTACGCCGCTTCTAGCAATATTCCAGCAATATCACGACCGGGGACACCAGAAATCGACTTCACACATTGGACCCATGTCGGGAATCGAACCCGGGTCTTCGGCGTGACGAGCGAAAGCTTTAACCACTAGGCTACCCGACCGCCCCTATTTGTAAAACAAGAAATGATTATAATTACCTGTAGATCATTAACGCAAACCTAATGAGGAGCCGTCCCTGCAGGAAACGTGTTTTACAGAATTTTAGAGACCATCATTGCCCAGGATTTCTTGAATATTCTTGAAATAAGACAGTAAACCCAAGCACACACTGGTGTTTATTATCCCCCGCCACGAAGTGGAAGGACAGAAAGGAATGGGTACTTTCCGTCACGTTTCGTTTCCGGAGCAGAACTCAAAAACCAAGAGAGATATCTTAACCAAACTTGGCACATAGATAGATCTAGCGGCGAACTGGTGCATTTTGACAGTTTGGGATTTTTGAAGAAAAAAATAATTCGGTTTTCCATGGCAACGACTTTGACTTAAACTGAATATGGCGGCATTGGCGGGGGATATGAGTATTTCATGCTTGTTTTTAATAGTGATAACTTCCCGGTATGTCTTGGCTACCCTATCGCTTTCGTATATGTTTGAATGAAGCATGAAATGACAAAATATGCGTACGAATAGACGGAATCACAGTAAATGTCACTAAATTGGCTCACTGCAAGTGAACCAGGCGTATAGGTTGAGGAAGGTAAGCTCGAACATGCTGTGTTGGTTGGAGTTAAGCTGTCTGTGTTACACATTCACTTCAACTCTCTAATCGCTGAGAGAACTACCACCGACGGCTGTCAAAAGAGGTAGTAACTCACGTCTACTTTAACGACCAAGGTTGAACCAATCCCGAACTTCACAAGCAGCGGAGAGGCCAGTCTTCGTGACTGCATTTGTCGCATGTCTAATGCCATGTAATGTCTCAAACATAACACAGCTCTCCGCTTTATATATGAATTATAGTGGAGGTGAAACCTTTGTCGCAAAACAGATATATAAGTAACAAGCGTATAGTCGACGAAGTCATCTATATCCCCCGCCATTTTAACACGTTATGGTCCCAAACCGGGTAACTGACCCAACATTTCTCTTAGGCCATGTCAAAATAGCTGCAATGGAAATTCTAAAATAAATATTTATAAAACTCCTAAATAGCAAAAGGGACCAGTTCAGTATATGTCTGGTAATCATGCAAAGTTTTGTAAGAAATTATTGAACGGTTTTTGAGTTACGCTCCGGACACGAACAGCACCCTTATAGAACCTAAGTCCAACTTGTTGCCATGGAAACGTAAAATATAAAAATTAATAAAGTTCCTAAATTGCAAAAGGCACCAGTTCAGCATGAGTCTGATAGACATGCAAAGTTTCGTAGAGAAATATTTAACGGTTTCAGACTTATGCTCCGGAAACGATTTCGGGACGCACACACGCACACACGGACGGAACCCATTTCTATATCCCCCGCCAACTTCGTTGGGGCGGGGGATAATAAAGAGTTGCTTCCATTCCCAGTTCAACAGCTGACTTTAAGAACGCATAGTCATTTTTATACACGACCGTGGTTTTCAAACCATAATGAAATTTGATACTTTTTTTCAGGAAGCGGCATCCAAATACAGATGGACGGCGGATAGTTCAGGATTAACTTCTTTCTTTTATTATTTCGGCGGGAGGGAAATTTGTAGTCAGCGGGACATGAAACACAAAAATAAGTGAGGACGCCCTCATCTTCCCGAGGCAAGGGTCAATGGACGACAAAAGTGGAAACTGGACTTTGTTAGTCAGTTAACGCCCTTGCCTCGGGAAATTTGGACGCCCAAGAGCAAGGACTTGCTGTCATTTACTATGGTATTGATGTTACTGTATACCTTCCGTAATACAGACGTCGCAAGTTATGCACATATAACATAGGTGTATTCAAGGATGAACTGTCCTCTCACTTTGGCTTTCAACCTTTGCGCCAGACTCTTTGACTTGAAGACGATCGACCCTGAACACCACGATCAGCAATATTACATCTAGGATAACGCGGGCCGTACATGATCAACTCTTGACCAGTCAGGCGGGAACACTGACATAAAACCAGCCATAAATGTCACAATCTTACCACCTGGCTCTCATTTCGAGTTGCCCGTTACGACAAGGACATACTGTAGACATGTTTCGAATGTGCGACGTTTCAGATGGAGTAGGTTCTTCTCTCAGACTGGACACGTAGCGGTGCCAGGAAACGTGGTGACATATACATCGGGGAATATTTAAGTCAGGCTCCTGTTTCTTGTGGAGTAGTTGATAACAAAAGAATTCATGTTAATAATTTTATTTATATATTCATGTAATACACAAATTAGAGGAATATCACTTAAACCCCAAGAAAGGCAATTACAACTAATCACCCGAGAACCGTAAATAGAATTAATAATATACTGGACAGGACTTATGTATTCCAACTTTGGTAGGTTTGGTTAATAATGCTTTAAAGAAATCTCTGAAGACCTATATTTATATGTGGTTCTCGTATAAATTACGTTAAGAAAGTTTTCGCCAACCTCTCAATTCTCCACGAGCGGGTGTTCTACATGATATATTCAAGTACAACTCACGTTGTTATACGGTAAAGGTTGGATCGTCATCTGTATATTGCAACATCGGGCCTCCAATTCAGCCTAGGACGAGTCAATTATGTAGCCTCGACACATAAGCCACGTTGATTTGGTTTCTTACAGTAATTGCAGTTAATCAGGAGGACCGTCTCCTTGCATTTGAATAAACACTTATTCATATGTGGTCGAGCTATGGTACTGTCCAGTAGACCTCTGGATGAAAGAAATCAGACTCTTCTTAACCATCTCTGGTAGATTGTTCAGGGACAACTACGAACTGTAATCAAAAGTTGAAGGACAACTACGAATTGCAGTCCAAAGTTCTGGAAAATGTTCTAGGAATACAGCAATGGTTTGAAGCGACTTAAATTGTCAATGAATTGTGAAGAAACATTGACATTAGCTACTGAAAAATGTGATTCTCACAATCACTTCTAATACCACGAAATAAAAGCATACACTCAGTCGACATTGATCAAAATAGAGACCCATGGACAGCAAAGTTCAAAGTAGAATATGCGTCCACAGAAAAGGTTGCCGAGTCCAATCCCACGAAGAACTGGTGGAAAATGGTAAGTGGCCACAGGTCCCATTGTTCCTGTCATCAAGTTTCGAGGATCCAGAAACTATACCAAGAACATTACCCTGTTCAGTAAGTTATTTTGGGTTTTTCACACTGTTAACCTTGCCGATCCTGTTTCTGTGAGAACACCCACCCATTGTACCAGTACCGGAAACCCTTGCCTACTGTGTAGAATAACAGAATCATATTTAGTCTCATGACCTTCCATACTCCAAGACACTTTTTTCACCAGATGTTAACTCTGTTTTGGTTTTCTTTACATTACACTCAAAATATTTAAATAAGTATTTATAGGGTGAAACAATCTAAATTTGCAGATATCTGAAGACATTTCCGTTTGTGCCTGAAGCCATTCAAGGCATGTACTGACAAGAAGCATACAAATATGTAAACAAGCTGGGCAAAAGATGTGGTAAGCTTCGTTAATTACATTGATAAACTTGTAGATCACTTGTTAGGTGTTGAACAAGGGGGTCAGTTAGGTTGGCACACATGCAAAACACAAACAACATGATGTTTGTACCAATCACAGGAATAGCATATTGTCTCTACACTTGCATCCACCTGTGATCTACCTGTAAGAAGCACATGGCATGTGTGTAGTTCTACATCCCGACACCATGTTTTGTCTTGAAACACCCTTCAACAGATCGGCCCACATTGATGCATATTGGCACATGCCCCTTCACCTGACTCAGTTTCTAACCTCCAAGCTATCCATGCTCGAGAGATCTCACTATTCGGTCCAGCAAATGTTTCAGAGTAAGTTACATTCCTGATATTATAGTCTACTTCACATTAACCACTGTTACAAATGAAATCATCTTGTTCACTGATTATTAAAGTCTTTCTGAAGGTAAATCTTACTGACCCACAATTTGATTGAGTAAAGCAGCCAAGCAAATAATCTTGACCTAACATTGACAATTACATACATATACATATACACATAATATGTAAACAAATCACAATTCAAACTATTTACAAGATGATCAGTCAGATATCAAATAATGTTAAACTAATTACACAAATTATTTTCAGGAAGAAGTTTGCATCTGAATATACTATACAAATGTACAATGACAATGTACAATAATTACACAATAGTTCCACTGTTGAAGTACCTCACGCACTGTGTCAGTGTATCAGTACTTTCAGATAGTAGCTTCTGTTTCTATTCTGACAATCATTCAGTTGTAGTGAGTGAGTGAGTACGGTTTTATGCCGCTTTTAGCAATATTCCAGCAATATCACGGCGGGGGACACCAGAAACAGGCTTCACACATTGTACCCATGTCGGGAATCGAACCCGGGTCTTCGGCGTGACGAGCGAACGCTTTAAACACTAGGCTACCCGACCGCCCCTCATTCAGTTGTAACCAGATAATTCAACACCCAGACATTAAAAACGTACATACCAGATTAATGACATATTTTTTATATCTCTGTTAACATTCTTGCTAACTGCAGAAAACCTTCTGATACACTCGGTGACAGAAACAGACTTACAGACAATATGGTGCCATATATATGCTCATGGAGAAGAATACGAACATAAATATTTGAAAAGGTGTTGCACAAATCCTGATAACTTTAGATAGAAACATCCACCAATACTAAAAATGTCAACTAACAAATAGTAACTAATCTTAATTCTCTTAAAGGATGTTTTATAAACACAACGACAACATGTCATGTCCTAGGTTTCTGCTCTACATGGGTCGACTAATTACCCTTTAAACTTCCAGTATTAACCTTTGCCATGTTTTCCTATGGCAACACATTTTTTCATTTTTTAATTTACAGATACATCACAATCACAAGCCACAATCACAAAATAAGATAATAATAGTTTAGATTAATGTTTATAAAAACCACTCATAATGGACGAATTGACTAAACAATCATGCAAACTTAAAGTAACTATCAACTTGTTGAATCATTCCAATGCTTTGTTGGTAACATGTTACAGAAGAGATAAAGATCCTGCCCTTTAACCAATTAGTGCATTAATTTCTTGAAACAAAACCTCCAGACCAAAACAACTTCAATCCATTTAGAATAATAAAAATACTACACTAGTTTTTTACTAATCCCAGCTTATTCTCAAGCAATGATATGTAAACCATACAACACAAAAAGTTTGGCTGAAGAGCATGGGTAGTCGCACAAACAACTGATGTCATTCTGCCTATCCTGTAAGCCATTTTACACTGATAAAATACAGAAGCACTTTCAAGATACCGTTAAGAACTGTGAATGTACCTAATCGTGAAAGATGATTTGAAGACGAGATTCCAAGGAGTGTTACAAAGCAGCACAACAAGTGTCAGTTGGGGGATGGACACAGAGGGCTTGACTAGTGAAGGTGCAGCAAGGACCTTCTCATGAATGCATCCCGCAGGCTGCAGAGAGTTCCATTCATAGAGAAGGAAGTTCCTTCCATGATAATCTATGAAAACATCTAGTCCTTGTTACAAAACCCACTATTTGTATAGACAATTATGTTCATAGCTATAATGGACTTTCTCATAGTACAATGACGAGGCCGTGAAACCCCACTGGGAAAAAAACCACTGTAGCCATCTTTACTACATACACTGATGGAACGAAGAAGTGAACAAAGACAACTGTAGGGAAATAAGCTTGACTGTCAGTACATTTGAAATACAATGCATTCAAATTCAACACGTCAGAATCAAATGTTGAGATGTATTTGTGTGCATTGTTTCCAATGCATATTGGGTAGATGATGCTGGGGACCCATGATAGCATCTTTTACTTGTATAAAACTGTGTTCCCTTATTCATTGCCATCAGTTTGATAAATAGTGTCTGAAAGGTAAGGGGGTAATCATTTACCCGTACAAACAGATGCTCAATAATTATGTTTTTAAATACATAAAAATAACAAAATGGACATTCGTCTGCAAGAAAAGGGTACATTTTTTATCCCTTCCAATGCGAGGCATATGTAAAAATAAATCAGTACTACAGAGGCTTGATATTATATTTTTAGAAAACATCCTGCCCCAACTCCCTGAAAATATAATGGTTGCTCCCCAACTGGAATAACATGCACTTTGTGAACTGAACAATGGACTGAGTATAATATTAACCAATAACCCTTAAATGATAGTGCCTAACTTCAACACAATTCAAGTTACAGAACACTCAAAATACATATTAGCCAAATATCAAAGGGAGATAACTTTGCCACAAGCGCTCAAATGCCTCCACAGGAAATGACATCACACAAGCGTCTGCATCAAACACCCAACATGTTACAGGGATCTGTCTAGGATTTTAGGATTATATATTGTTTGTTTGTGACAGATGTACAACTCTCCAGAATGTTCAGGGCCAGAGAGTGTTGCTCAAAGATAGGTGAAACCCACGAGCACGGGTATGGTGCTGACAAACCTAGAAACATAATTAGGGCGAAATGGGATTCGAAGCCACAATCATAGGTTTCTGACGTGCCCAAGGGATGCAACTCTGCACAGTGAATCGCAGCCCCTTAGACAACTGGGCCACCCGTGCCCTCCTATCTCAGATGAACAGGAATATGAATTATGTAGACTGGCGGCATGATTTTGAATATATAAAAACTGACCAAACATCTTCTGCTTGGCTTCTATTTCCACCCATCTGTCCAGAGATGAATGATATTGTATACCAGGTATTGTACCCACCTATTGACAGAGACAATCAGATATGTCATTCTATCAATATATAAACCACTTGACATATTATGAGAATCAGGAAATATAATAAAAGAAAGAATATCATATGAGAAGAGGGAATGGAGAGAAAAATATCCCTATCAAAGATGTAGTATAATATATATATATATATATATATATATATATATATTGAAGCTTAGTTCAGTCACAAAGGGACAGGATACCAAAAGAAAATTACCATTGTCTTTCTGACATGCACATGTTAGTTAATATGCCTTGGCTGCCATTTTATTAAGTATCAATTACAAAAGAAAGAAATATAATAAAAGATAGCATATTATACGTGATACTCATTGATGATAGTTATAATAGACTAGGACTCAGTAGTGATGGGGATTAAACACCAGTCACCACTAGAACCAGACTGTTAAGAAAAGAAAATATACTGTTTCAAGAACTATGAACGAGAGAACTGTTTGCATTTCACACACAAGCACAATCATACACGTCCTCACTTCCTTCAGAATGCCACAACACAAAATATACATATTCAAATTATGAGTATTGAGAATAGACCAGTAGGTTACCATGGTTATCATGACTTGACATGATGGATAGGAATAATTAGTACAAACAAATAATGACATGTTGGTGTTGATGTGAATACTCACATTGCCAGGGTATAATCATGATTCCAACCCTGTAATATATTCAGTGACTTTGGATTTCAAACAAGCCACAAGATTATACAACGATTACATCCAGTCTTCTTGTGGCATCCAAAACAACCTGACAGCATTGAAAGTCAGATTCAGCCATACATGCATCCCCTACATCTCCAAGGCTAGCATTTCGGTAAACCTACACAAACCCCTGGATCCGTTCTTGGATTCTTGCAATCTCAAATGACCCGACTTGATTTCCATTTGCTTATTTGATTGGCTACACAGTTTGGTCTAACGTACCAATCAGAATGCGAGTTACAAACCAGCCTCAATGTTGGGTTGGCCAGTCCCATTGATTATGATCATGTTTGCGAAAAATTCAACATTGAAAAACTGACTGACGAGAAAGCCCTTAAAAATCTTCTTGACGGAAAGGATGTCTTCATGCCCATCAAACTGGCGGTGGCTTTGGTTTTTAGGTAAAATAAGTTACCTCCCTTACCCTATCCTTATGTCCACATTTGATTGTCGGTAAAATGTTAATGAAAATCAAGGGCGGGTAATTTGCGATCGTGAGAATGATGGGAATGGCTCCAGGGGTTAGTGTCGTCTACGGAAATGCGTGCCATGTAGATCTACAGGATGGCAAACAAGAGCAACCCTCAATCTTGGACTGCTGAGTCAGCTTGTTTAGCCAAGTATTGATGATAAAACAAAATCCAGTGTTGGAATTAGGGAGTGTCCTGGGGTGATTGAGGTAAGCTGGTACACTATCTTTAGCGAGGGATCCATAATTCTGTAATTATTGGTTGTGACAAACGCATCCTGACTTTCAAGCATATTTTCAAACACTGAAAAGTGTACACAAACCTATTTCTAAAATAATTTCAAGCACTCAAAGAATTTTAAGCTCTAAAAAATACTTTTCATGTGTAAATGTGATAAGAAAGTCCACCATTTTTTATCAACTTATGGATCTAATATCTCAAATCTGTCTGTTATTTCCTGCTCAAAATGAGTCTGAACATGTTTTTCAAATTCTTCCTGCGGTACAGTTTCGGGGAAAAGGTCATTGCACATGGGGCATATCCGTTCTATCTGCCCTGGTCGTAAAGTTTCAGGTGCACTAGAGTCATCAAAACATTCAAACACATGTGTCTGGAAGTCTTCCATTGGCATCGGCGCGAAGTCTCTGGAACACACAGGACAAACCTTCTCTGCTGACTCTGCCTGATTGGTTTGTCTTGGACCAGTCTGTGTCCTGTGGTCGCTAGGCGATGCTTCTGTACCTGGATATGCCAAGTTGGGTCTTAGTTCTGGAGGGACTGGGAAAGCTGGAGTGTTGTCTTGAACCATCCTGAAATCATCACTAACAACTGCCTGGTACTTTCGTCGTGTGTTTGGTTGAATATTTTCATAGCTACTCTGAGGTTGAATATGAGCTCCATTGATCCGCCATTGAGACTCTGAGAATGGTGAGGATTCTCTAACATTTCCCTGTGTATCACCTGCCCTCACAATCACCTCTGATTTGCTTCGTAGACTACTGAGAGCATTGTCTGATGGTCTTCTTCTGAGAACCTCTGATCTTGAATGTTCCTGATTTGATACAGACATCTGGGATGTGGTGCCATGTGAACTATTTGACCTCCTTTGTGAAGAGTTCCAAAGGACTCCATCAGAAATTCGCGATGTGGGTGCAGCCCCAGGAATCCTCCGGGGAGATAAATTATCTCCATCTTTCACGTACACTCCTGTCTGGGGCAGCTGGGAGTTGGTCGGAACAGTTTCCCAACTTGGACCAAGACCATTTTCTTCATTTAGTACTCGTTTTGGAATACCGACATTTGGTTCACTCCTGGCACCTACCATGCCACTTGTTCTGCCTGAAAAGATAGACATATTAATTTTTTTTGCAAATTTTAGCCCCTTAAACTGCAGCCAACAATTATCATAATCCACTCTCCGATTATACCCCTTGCTCTCATTGAATACATTGATTGGTAGATATTTTTCTTTAAAGTGGAACAGATCAGTGCCATGTTAAAAGGGATGTCAGCCCTGTCACTATTCCAAGTTTTATGTAAAGTTCAGGCTTTTCAGTAGTCCCAGCAGTATGATCACTTTGAGCAACTGCAGAAGGGCCCTGTGGAACTTTTTCATTATTTAATATTTTGAAATGATAAAACAACTTCAATGACAAGAATATCATGCATCTTAAAATATGTATTGTCAGGATAAGAAGCTTAAAACAAACACTGTGAACACCTAGGGATCATGGTGATTGCAATTTCCGCTGTAAAATAGGTGACAAACATAGAGAAATAAATGACAAGAGAAACCCAAGTGAATAACGATTATATGGACCATGATGAATCATATCAGTGTGGTGCTGACAAACCTAGAAACATTAATCGGGGCGAACCGGGATTTGAACCCACAATCATAGTTTTCTGGCATGACCAAGGGACACAACTCTGCACCGCGAATTGTGGCACCTTAGACAACTGGGACACCACTGCCCCAACACAAACATGACATATGACAATTAGCCAGTATTTCTTCCTGGCTTCCATCTTTCATTATTTTCTACAGATCTCACATCCCCCATGGGGATTCCTGGTTTAATGCATGGTCAGGTTTGGTCACTGACATGGCTGATCGCATGTCATCAAACCTCAAAGCCATGGCTTGTTGCTCATAATATCAATCACTGGATTGTCTGGTCTAGACTTGTTTATTAACAGGCAGCCATATCGCTGGAATATTGCTCTGCTGTTTTAAACAACAAACAAATAGATCTAGTAATAGATTTTAGTATTCATGTAAGCCCTTCTCAGTTTAACAATTGTCTGTGCTTACCAAGCTTGCTGAGGAACTCTCTTTGTTGTATAACAGTTCTCCTAAGGTCTGAGATGACTTTCTTGAGGTGCACCAGTTCATCCGCAGTTGTCATGGACGACCCCACAGGAAGATCAGACTCTCTGAGAGCCAGCAATTCCTGCTCCAGGGCATGATTTCTGGATCTCAGGTCGTCAAACTCTTGTTTTGCTTTCTTGACTGTGTTCTGGAGTTCTGTCTTAGCATCTTGCAGCTCTGCCTTAGCACTCTGTAAGTCTGTCTGAGCAAGGTTTTCACTGACCTGCAATCGGTCACCCTCCTTCCTCAAAGTATCACATTCTGCTTCAAGAGTTTTATATTTTAATTGCAGATCTTCCAAACTCCTGTTCTGTTTTTCTAAACTACTCTGAATCACTGAACTGTGCATATGGTCCTGAATATCAGATGCATGTCTTCTGTACGAATCACGCTCCTCACGAAGTTGCATGTTGTCTTCTTTCAACTCGGTAACAATTTCATTCACACGTTTCAAATCCATGTCCTTCCTTTCTAACTCAGAAACAGCATCCTTATATTTTCTTTGCATAGCATTGCAACTTTCTTCAAATGAGCCTTTTATTGAAATTAACTGTTGTATTCGAGCCTCGTTGTTCACTTTTTCTCGTTCTAGATACTTGACATACCCCAAGCGTGCTCTGACATTGTCATCCGTAACAACATGTTCGCCGGTGGCAGCAGCTCCCTGGGCACTGATGGACATTTCGTCCGGCGATTCCCCGTATGTCGACATGTTTGCTTCAGCCAATCTTAACTTACCTACATCACGCAATGCTCGGGTTAACTGGTCATTTTTCTGCCTTTTTTCATTGAAACGTTTCTTGAGATCGGAGTAAGCTTGTTGCAGAGCCTGGACAGCCGGGTCTGGTCTGCTGCCTGGAGACCGGGATATCACAAAGTCGAAAGGCTGTTGGAGCAGACGATTGCCAGGATCAGAGACACTACCGTCTAGTGTGTCATGACCGGACAAAATATAGATATCATCATCTGTGTTCTCCATCCTTCACCTTGGTCTGCAGAACACAACAGTTACTATAAAGAATTTGAAAATATTCATTGTTTAACTTTACTCAATTAACATGTAAAATGTGGTGTTGTTTATCTGTGTTTCAAATTACAAAATGCCCCTAAAAGATAATATCAATTTATCAAGACATGTGTTTTTTATATGTTAGTATGAGTAAACGATACATAAATCACGAAGAACAAATTAGTATATGTCACTGATATTACTGGAACAAAAAGCACAAATACTGTTTTTGTGTTATAAAATCTATGACGCAATTTCAAAATATCTATGTTGTTTACCAGCTTTGGAATAAAAATATTACAATTACTCACCTGAACTTAATTTATAAACATTATCTGAAGACAATATATGCAAACATCTTAAAATTTACGTCTAGTTTTTCATTAATCATACAATAAAACATTTGACTCTCAAAAAATATTTTTGACTCCCAAAAATTCATAGGCTGAGTCAAGGTGACTCTCAGATATTGGAGTCTAGGGGGAACCCTGCACTAATTAGGTTGCTTTAGCGTAGCAGAGTTCCAGGTAAGCTGCATACATGTATTTGCTTACAAGATGCAAACTAACTCACCCATGTCATTTGCAGGTGCCTGAGCACAAGTATGAATGATGAAATTGAATGAACCAATAGTCTAAGAACACTGTGTGTAATTACCCAATGTAGCTGTTTCTGCTTCAGTACACGTATGTCTTTACAAATATTTTCTGACTGACTGAATGAAGGCATCACGCATACATAAATGCTATTGCAGTAAATATTGCACATCTTGCAACATCTAGCTTATCTTAACTTAAACATGTACTACAGTTACGAGGTTATGCGACATGTGACTCACTTGAAGCAGCACACAAACACAATCTACTTAGAAGTTACCTGAAACAGCATAGCAGTATTATTTATTTATTTTAAAAGTGTACTCAACGGTTTACAAAACACCCATCGACTGGACCCAAGAGAATAAAAATATATTGAATAATGAATACCCCCCCAAAATATCACTACCCAATGTGAATAATAACATGAGAGTAAATACTCTATAAGCAAGCTAGAGCCCTGGTAAGCATTAAAAAAAAATAATTACCAACAAATGATACTTTAGGATTTCTATTTTTATCAATACACAACATACCTTAATACATCGTTGTTTCAAATAACTGAAACAACAAAATATGTTTTAACTTCAATTACTTTTTTAAAATAAAAGTGTATAGTTCTTTTGATATGGAACATATAACAACTTTGTTAACAGTTGTCAATGAATATGTTCATTAATATCTTTGGTATCTTTAATGAGCAGATATACCAGAGTCTCAAACCATCAAAACCCTAACTAAATTGTATTCTAACCAAACAACAAGTACTAATATTACACTTGACAATGATCAGTATGGCATGTACCAAATTTATAGAATAATCATCTATAGATAATTAACTACACCAGCTCACACATCAGAATTTAGTTATAGAACTTAATAGCTGTCTAGGTATATTATTAAATCAATCTTACCAGGCGGAATAAAAACCATGTAATGTTACAAATTGTTTCCATAATCATTTGAACAATACTTTAGAAATTGAATTTTACAAACCTTTCATAGATTCGACAATGAATTACGCTTATAGAAGATTAGAATGGTGACACACTTGTTCCTTATACACATAAACAAACAAGTATTGAATCATGTATATCAGCTGATCTTTGGTTAATGTGAACAGTTTGTAACCAGACCAGGAAGTAAAATGTACATATCTGAGTCTAAAGGAGGGCTACTATATGTATAATATATCAAAGACGTATATAAATATATACGTCTTTGAATATATCAAATACCTTCAGTGTCTCTGGTCAGAAACTGAGAGTGACGGACAGCTGGGAAACCTACATTGACACTTCAGTCTCCACACTATAACGTCCATATTTCATTTTACGTAATGTGGCAAAGCCCACCTTTTGTAGGAGCGTAAGCTACACAATTTCCACATGCAAATGACTAAACTGTGGGTGTTTTCAGATAAGTACTGACCTACATAGCTCGGATTGTATTCAAGGGTGACTAAGGTTAAAAATAGGCCACCTCTTGTAGTATACGCTTTACAACTTATCTCGTATAATAAATCACAACGCAATATGAACTACCTATTTCCAGTTTAAATAAGCGCACAGACACAGTTAAAATATACGCGCAAATGTGACTTATTTTCAAGGATCCGAACATAACTCTAAGGCAAATAAGCACTCAAATATTAATTACGATGTTGACACACATGAGGAGTTTTGCGGAAGTTCTCCTACCATTAGGTGAGCGTGAGACATAATAACTTGAAATGGGCTCATTGTAGACTGCTTCAGAATATTACACCTTAACATTATTATCAAACACATCCCAAAATTTTGATACATGTGCTTTCGATTTGAGTCTGTTCCTATGTATTTACATTTGTTTTCACATTTACGTAAGCAAATTCAATTCGAAAGCAAAAGCCCGACACACTGTTTGTGGTGGTCTGAATACTCGAAGTCGGAAACAGGTGTTCTACATTATGTTCGGTCATAAAAACAAAGAATATTGTGTTTAAAGCTTGTCATAAGAACATTAACATGTATGATATTGCTATTATAACCTACCCATTTCGGTTATCCACTCTTGATTGTTACATCTTTGTCAGTCTTTGCTCTCACACTCGACGGGAAACTATGGCGATACGTGATGACGTAGAGTTAGGGGATTCCCCCTTTCACTCGGGCAATATCGGCCAACTTCGGGACAAGCCGTATGAGGCCGAATACTCCACGAATGAATCACTTTTCGAACGCTCCCGAATCTGACGTCCAGTTGTTGTGACTATAAAAGTCTTTACCTTATGCATACATTTTTCAAGGTGTTAACCGAAAAATTCAACTATTGTTTCTTGTTTGAAAGGCTCTCGCACTTTTTAATACGACATAATTACGTTCCAAAATACACACCCACAATTAACATATTGAAAAACGATCGGAAGATGCCTGTGTTTAGATGTGAAACTGAAAGAACGCATTTTAACTTAAAATCGCTGAAATTAACAATATGTTGCTTAACACCTATATGTCGCGGCCAAACAAGTTCTGAGTCCCATCCTTGGATTCGCACCACGGACCTTCTGCTCTGAGGTTGGACGCCTTTTCTACCTGACCTGGCTTACAATATACGAATGTTTTATATGGGGGACTTCATGCCTTGAGACACACATATCATCAATATTAATTGTTGGACATAAAAATAATTAAGGACATACTTGGGTTTCCGTTGTGCAGTTCGACCCTACATTTCACTGGTAACTCCTACATTGTAGTCGTAAAAAATAACTCATCGAAAAATATATATGTTTTATAGCCACCTACCGAACCATATCTCTTAAGGGCATGGTACGTAAGTTTTTGTTTCCATAATAGTCACCTCACCACTAAAGATAGTAATACATCTATACATTGTACCGTGTTTGTTCCCGTGTTTTCTTCGGGTGAGTGAGTAAGGTTTTACGCCGCTTTGAGCAATATTCAGTGCCGTAGCCAGCGGGGGGCAGGGAAAGCAGTTGCCCCCCTCCCCCCCCCCTCTAGATTTTTTTTTTTTTTATAGAAAACAGTTTTATTTGAATCATGAAAATACAAGTTGGAGACAAGTGATACTTGTACAAATAATTGACCCCCCTGTCAAAAAAAAGTTAACTACCGCCTTGATATTCCAGAAATATCACGGCGGGGCACACCAGAAATGGGCTTCACACATTGTACCCATGTCGGTTCTTCAGGTGAACTATTGACTTGCCTTTGCAAGTGTTTGACGGTGCCAACGGTGGGGCAGGATACGCTCCCCTTTTTGCGAACATCTGGTATCATCACTATTTGGTAGTGATTCATAAACACATGCTTATGATACTGTCGGAATCGTACAATGGACTGTGGCATTTCTTGTGACAATGGAAATGGTTTTATTTGTAGAAACATATGGACATGCACGACAAAAACAGAGCCGATGGACGAATAAAACACACGTTTGCTATTTCTTCGATAAATATGTTCGTTTTTTATTTAATCTGTCTTTTAAATATGTCGATAACACGAGTTATCACAAGCAAATGCATGACTTTCACGGGAGATATCGCTTACGTGGCTACAATGGATTTTAACGTCATAACGGCCATTGTGACGTCATGTTAATCAACTGACATCACTCATTCCTCTCCCACTGAGCAGGTTTGATGGACCTTTTAGAAACTTGGCAGACAATGGTTATTACTGTGTACAAATTGAAAAAGTTGGGAAAATCAGTATGGAAATAAATAGAATCTCAACCTCGTGTCTTTTGATATCAAATATATCAACACTCGTCGATAAAAGTTTAAAACCTGTCGGCAAGCCTCGGAGTTTTAAACTTTTATATCGACTTGTGTTAATATATTTTTATGAAAAAACACTCGGGGGAGATTCTCTATGTGTTATCATCACGTGATTACCTTTGAAAAACTGACCTTGTCATTATGAGATATCATTGTGAATAATTGTATATTGTACATTTTTTTAGTTGTTATAATGGGGTTTCCACATGAAACTGAAGTCAATATGATGCCAGAGCATATATTCGTTATTAGGGTTGTATTCTAAATGGCCACACGATATCATGACTAAAACATATGTTGTTGTACATGCTACAAACTTGGGATGGAATGCGACATTACCCAAGAATTTATGAGTTACCAAATTAATTAGTAATGATCTAAGCTACACATGATGGTGCGACTCACGTCCTATCAAGTTTGAATGAGGTCGTTGTAACAAGTTACTCATTTACTAAGTCAAGGTTATGACATTGGTCAGCCTAACAAGACAGGAAGACCCCAGCTACACGGAGACAATATGTCATCACACAAGATGGCCGCCAGAGTGCGGAGCCGAGTCTTTCTTTCAGTTATGGCAAAGTTCATTTCCTGTGTATTGGCGAATCAGTTGACCTTTGCAGCACCCACCATGTTACCCAACGGCCAACAGAGAGAGATTAACAAATGAAACACGCGAACGGAAAAAACAACGTTTTATGCACCGAACTTAAATTTTCTTTACACGTGTAAGCGAATGTGAGACTTAATGTCCAGAATTAAAGAAAAATTTCACCAAAACTTTAAACAAATCCCAATACACAAAAAACGTACAATAATAATAATAATAATAATAATAATAATAATAATAGCTTGATATTAAGTTGACGAAAGTTCTTACGTTACAAAATATGAGACATTCTGAAACTTGATATCTGATCATTAATAATTTTCTATTCGCAAATATTTTACAAGCTAATAATAATCAACTTAAATAACAAAAATACTTTAACAAAATAATGTAACAGTAAATATTCATTTATCCAGAATATTGCTTTCTTGATGATAATGTAAGTCAGTTTATTATAAGTCAAAGTAGGGAGTCAGGGAAAAAGAACTAACAGCACATTTATCTGGGTATATATTTTTATGGTGGACATAACCCTAATCATCAATATTTGAACACTCCAGCATGTTTGTCGTCTGATCCCCAACGTGTAGGCCTGCCAACATGTCACCACCTCAGACCACGCCATAATGGACACTTTCACCAGAGACCATATACATAGATCTCTGCTTTCACCCACTCATTTCCATCTCGGAACTTAGTTTTTTACATTTTACCATATATTGCTAACTCCCTAGAATAATTTACCATTTCTATTTTTTATGTTTCCATGTTTACCATAAATGTTTTCATAACCGTTCAATATTACTTCAGTTTTCACGGTTCACCATGGATAACATCCGCATTCCCCTGATACTCCGCGTGCCAAGTCTCCATCACCGTCCATGATGTATCATGTTACATTGTGTCACTGTTGACGATAATTAGTGTTGGGTTCCCCTACATAAGTATAGTACTATGCAGAGTTAACAATATCCTAATTGGCGATCTAAGTGGATAACTGCCTCTTTGTGGTACCATACTTACATAGCGTCGTAATACAGCAAGGCGTTTTGCGCAGCTGAAAAATCACTCGACTTCGAATTGATTGGTCAGAAGCGCTGAACGTCCAACACGTCCTTTAAGGTATTGCGCAACATTCTCATCAGGCTTGCATGGGGGATAAACGTAGTTGGACTTGATAAGCATGTTTGCTTAATTAGCATGGGACTGATTTATATTGTTTTTGGTGGTAGTTTCAGATTTATCGACTAAAACGGTATCACAAAAGGGCATACAAAGAAGCTGAAGTAAAGAACTGATTCATGGATTTCTATTCTTATTTATTACCTGTACTGAGATGAACTGTAACTGAAGTATATGTACTGAGATGAACTGTAACTGAAGTCTATGTACTGAGATGAACTGTAACTGAAGTATATGTACTGAGATGAACTGTAACTGAAGTATATGTACTGAGATGAACTGTAACTGAAGTATATGTATTGAGATGAACTGTAACTGAAGTATATGTACTGAGATGAACTATAACTGGAGTATATGTACTGAGATGAACTGTAACTAAAGTATGTGTACTGAGATGAACTGGAACTGAAGTATATGAACTGAGATGAACTGTAACTGGAGTATATGCACTGAGATGAACTGTAACTGAAGTATGTGTACTGAGATGAACTGTAACTGAAGTATATGAACTGAGATGAACTGTAACTGAAGTATATGTACTGAAATGAACTGTAACTGAAGTCTATGTACTGAGATGAACTATAACTGAAGTATATGTACTGAGATGGACTGTAACTGAAGCATATGTACTGAGATGAACTATAACTGAAGTATATGTACTGAGATGAACTGTAACTGAAGTATATGAACTGAGATGAAATGTAACTGAAGTATATGTACTGAGATGAACTGTAACTGAAGTATATGTACTGAGATGAACTATAACTGAAGTATATGTACTGAGATGAACTATAACTGAAGTATATGAACTAAAACTGAAGCATCTGTACTGAGATGAACTGTAACTGAAGTATATGTACTGAGATGAACTATAACTGAAGTATATGTACTGAGATGAACTGTAACTGAAGTATATGTACTGAGATGAACTGTAACTGAAGTATATGTACTGAGATGAACTATAACTGAAGTATATGTACTGAGATGAACTATAACTGAAGTATAGGAACTCAGATGAACTGTAACTGAAGTATATGTACTGAGATGAACTGTAACTGAAGTATGTGTACTGAGATGAACTGTAACTGAAGTATATGAACTGAGATGAACTGTAACTGAAGTATATGTACTGAAATGAACTGTAACTGAAGTCCAGTACTGAGATGAACTGTAACTGAAGTATATGTACTGAGATGAACTGTAACTGAAGTATGTGAACTGAGATGGACTATAACTGAAGTATATGTACTGAGATGAACTATAACTGAAGTATATGTACTGAGATGAACTATAACTGAAGTATATGTACTGAGATGAACTGTAACTGAAGTATATGTACTGAGATGAACTGTAACTGAAGTATATGTACTGATATGAACTATAACTGAAGTCTATGTACTGAGATGAACTGTAACTGAAGTATATGTACTGAGATGAACTGTAACTGAAGT